ACAATTGAATGCAACTTGTCAAATGCACTTATTGTCAAACCAAATTTAAGAAAATATGCCTGACATCTAAAAGACCCATGGAACATCCCATAATTTCATTTCCCAAATACATGGAGAAATAATTTTTTCTCACTTGGAGTCCATGCTACACCACTTCCTGCACAAGGGATTTATTCCCGAATCTTGAAGTCACTCATGCGCGACCACAGGAGAGAGAGTGTTGGCTGCAGAGCGTGAGGGGATGTGGGGCGCAGTGGCAAAGAGTTTAGACGACCAAGAGTTCTGCTCCGGCGAGATGGGGCCTCACCTGCAGTGGTGGTATACAGGACTGAAAAAGAACCCCGGCTATTCACGGTATGCGGGTAGCCATTGGTGATATTGCATGCGGTATGACAGGTGACAGGCGGTCCGGAAGTTCAAGGCTACCGTTGTTCCATAGGTTTGATTTTTTTTTATCTTCCTGCTATTACAAGGTGCCTCACTTTTGACGTGAATTTCGTGAAACAGTGACTACACTACCCTTAGTGCGAAGACTAATAGTTCGCAGATGTGGTTAACCGATAGGAATCTGAGAAATTCTTCGTCTTGCGTGCACTGAAATTCAGTATTCATGACTCAGGATGCCAGTTTACCGCGTGAGGTGGAAAACTTTGTTGTACGTCGATGTTGGAGTTTCAAACGCTCAGCCTTTTCCGAAGCTTTGTGCGCGGTCCTCGTCTAACGCTTGTGATATTGAGAAAAAATTAGAAGATGTCCCTGGTCCAAAACCGACTCTCCCTTTCATTGGCACCAATTGGCAATATTGGCCGCTTCTCGGATCTTACTCAAAGGATCAGTTACATCTTGCCTACCTCGGTGAGTTTATTTGTGATTCTGCGTTTAGCGATAGAAGATATTTACTTCGATTCCGTCAATCGGAAATCTTCAGACCAGTATAAAAAGTATGGCGTGATTCATGCCGAAGAATTCCAGTGGAGCCGTCCATTTCTCAAAGTCTGTCACCCCGAGGATTTCGAAGCCGTTCTTCGCCGACAAGGTAAATATCCCCGGCGACCAATTAATGCGGCTGTGAAGCATTACCGATTGTCGCATCCGGAACGTTACAAGTCTCCAGGTCTGGTGGAATCGTGAGTTAAACCATGGTCAGAAAGAAGTGAAGTCTTGAGTATTGGATGGCATTCATCGTCCTGTGTTTTCTGAATTTTAGGGACGGCGAAGAATGGTACTCTCTACGGAGTAAGCTTACTCCTGTCCTGATGAAACCGCAAACAATCCAGAAGTATATTTCTCAACAGCATTCGCTTGCCGAATACTTGGTCGAATGTATCAAGAGTTCCCGCGATGTGACTAATGCCGTCCCGAAACTCGATGATCTGCTCTTCCGTTACGCCCTCGAATGTGAGTGGGAAATTATTTGGTATATTTTTCACTACCGAGAAAGGTTTTCTTTTACAGCTGTGTGTTTGCTTTGCTTGAACAAAATGACGGGATGTTTAAATCCAAATGGAGAACTGTCACCAGACGCGGAAATTCTGATAACGACGGTTCACAAATTATGGAAATCGTTTCAAGAGGTTTATTTCGGCCCTCCCTTGTGGAAATATTTTCCTACTCTTGGGTACAAACGTTATGCTGAAGCGGAGGATGTTATTTACAGGTTGTATTCGCGTGTAGTGGAATCCCGGTTTCTAAGCTAAGTTGTTTAAATGATCATCTGTATCGCTTTAGTGTTTTTGCTTTTTGCTTGTTTAAGCAGCTGGTAATGATTAATTTATCTTCCCACAATCCTGATCATGTTGCAAGATTGAAGTGTATAGCCTTCTGCGCTTGTTTCCCTGAACGCCACTCGGACGTCCGAACATTGCAGAACACGTCATTGACAATCGCACTATTCATCACCAGAAAGATAATTCAGAAGTACTGGGCTGTATTCAAACGCTTTCTTTTTTCTTGCTCGCATGCGTAAGAGTTGTGTGAGGAAGTGTATCGAACGAATTCGTGGTGTATCAACAGCACGGAGATGCGTTCTTTATTGTAAATTAAATTGTGAAGACGGCATTGAAAATATTTATAAGAAGCTGTAAAACGCCAGAGGTGACGAGATATTCTCAGTTTTGAAGACCTGGGATTCCACTCGAGCTCTCTTCGTTATTAGCTTCACAGCTTTTTTTCAAATGACAGAATCACGAGTGCTATGATCGACGACGTAGAGAGGGGAATGGAAAACCGAGATGACTCCGTAACTGGGCTAATATCTGATGCTCTTTTGAGCGTGAAAGATTTGGATAGAAGGGATGTTCGCACCACCATGATTGACTTCATCGCTGCTGGCATTGACAATGTGAGGAGTTTTTTATTTAAATCAAAATTTACTTGATCTAATTCATGCGTTTTTATTTTATTTAGACTGCAAACATGATCATTTTCATGTTGTATCTTCTGGCCAAGAATAAGGATGTGCAGGATAAGTTGAGAAAAGAATTGGACGAAATACTAGGCATTAATCACGCAACCATTTCACCGCAATTTTTATCTGATGCTGTGTACCTACGCGCTGTGTTGAAGGAAACCTTCAGGTCTGTATTTTTTGTCTAGCAGGCTATTCCTCTCTGTATGTCCATCATTATGTTTGTACAGTATTTGAGACGATGCAATATTTTCATTTAAAATAAAATGCATTTTTTAGTACACCCTGTGGGAGACATTCGTGCGAATCAAAATCAATTCTATAGATTTTGATCCTCCATGTTTGATTTGAAAAGAGACATAACGCATCCGTTCTTCATTTAGGCTGATGCCGACTACGCCGAACCTTGTTCGGATCCTTCCAGATGAAATAGTCATGCACGGGTACAAGATTCCTCCTGGCGTGAGTTCTTTTTCTCTTATACGTCATCCTGAAGTCAATTATAGTAAAAACCTGTTGATTTGATTCAGGTACCAATAAGCTGCCAAATGTACGTGGCGTGTCGTCTCGAAAAATATTTTCCACAGCCGCAGCTATTTTCGCCAGAGAGATGGCTATCGTCTTCTGATCATCCGCCAAATCGATTTGCTTCGTTGCCGTTTGGTTGGGGTAGCCGAATGTGCGTAGGACGGCGTTTTGCCGAGCAAGAAATTCTCGTTACTGTTGCTCAGGTGTGTCCTTTTGAATCGAAAAGTGCAAGAAATTATATTACTGTACTGTATATGTGAAGGAAAGCTTATATCCATTTGTTCTTAATTCAAGTACAGTTCAGTAATTTTGCTGTCGAATTATTAGGTGATGTTATTGTACGTGACCAAGTTGAGAAACTTCCGAGAAAGAAGGATGTTTTGGGTTATCTAATTTCTAAAACCACCCCCTCTGAATGCTGAATTGCTCACAATCTGATTCTCAAAAGAATCATTGCTGTACAAAATTTCAACAGTCGGTCATGCATTTCGTAATAAAAATATTAAAAGAGAGATTGTGGTCTGTGACGTTCTGATAGCAGTAAAGTAATTAATATTTTGGAAGAAATTTTGTTCTAGTAGGATATTGGTGTATCTAACATCTCGTTTTTTCTAATTGCAGCTCGTTCGGCAGTTCGAGATTTCTTATCCATCGACGCTAGAAACGATTCACGAGTTTCTGATCGTTCCGGTTCATCCAACGGGATTTTTCATGCGGGACCGGCGAAGGTGATTCGGAAATGGACCCCGGAAAATATTCTTTGTACGGGTATGAAAGGGCTTTTTTTTGCTGAAAGATTTTGTCTTGTTTTTGTTGGGGATTATTTGCGTTGCTCGTCACCAGGAAATTGAAAATTTTAGGTGAGATAAAAGTGGCATTTGAACTGGATCAAATGGCGCATTAATTTTTGAGTTGGTTTTCTGCCTTGGGTTTTCTAAAGAATGTATTTGATCTTCGTTCACTAATTTTCTTTCCAAGTTTAGGTCAATTTTGTATCATTGTTCGTCGATTTCCAGCGTTTTTCTTGTTGAATTCCGCTTTTGCGTCATCCGTTTTTTCCTGATCGTCAAAGATGAAACGAATGTTGAATGTATTATTGTAAACTTTCTTATCGCGAAATGTTCTCTTACAGAGGTTACATTAATTCGCGGGAATTATTCGGTGATCAGTATCTTTCGAAATTATTGTGGTGGTATTTCGAGTAAAGCGAACATGAACGCGGAAAAGTTAAAGAAATTGCAAGGAGAGGTACGCATTGGTGGTAAAGGCTCCGCTCGCCGCAAGAAGAAGGTCGTTCATCGAGTCAATATCGTAGACGACAAGAAATTGCAGTCCACTCTGAAGAAAGTCAATTGTAATCCCATTCCCGGAATCGAAGAGGTCAACATGTTCAAGAACGACGGAACTGTGCTCCACTTCAACAACCCGAAAGTTCAATTGGCGCTTTCATCGAACATGGTTGCTGTCACTGGTTCGGCCGAATCTAAGCAGGTTTGTTGAATGCATGTGCAGTAACTGTCTAAGTACGGAAAAAATCTCTACCTTATTGACATTTGAAAAAAAAAATTTCAGGGCAGGAAATCGAATTTCATTGTGGAGAAAGTCCACAGTCGAGAGAAATTGAGAGCATTTTTGTGTGTTCGAAATATTCGGGGAATCACCTGCAGAAGTGCATTGAATTAAATGTTTAATCGCGCATGTGAAAAAGGGTACTCAGGAATAATTATATAATTATTGGTCCTCGCTACTTCCTTAAAAGTTAAGGTGTACCCCGATCAACTCTTGAATCAAAATTTTTCCGCTGAGAAATAAATTTTCGGACACATCTTTAAATGCGACTTCTCGATGGAAGCTGATCAATCCTCATTTGATAAGTAATTTTAATTAATCGCTGTCATTATGTAATTAGAGTTCAAATTTCTATCGAAACTTGTGCTGGCAACTAGAGGAAAGGTCGTGAGTCATTGATGCAGTTTATTCGATTTACAGCTGGGTGATATGCTACCCAAAGTTTTCAATCAACTTGGGCCAGAGCAACTGATCAAGATTTGCAATTTCTCTGGACCACAATCTCGTTCAGCTCCCGGAGCGGACGGTGACGCGACTACTACCGCCGACGATGAAAATGATGTGCGTATACTTTTTGATTTGTTCAAAAAAATTTTGTCTCAGAAAACTTCAACAAAATATAATGCCCGAAAGTCCATCAAAATGTGTTAAAATCGGAAATGACGCTTGTGAATTGTCAGACTAGAGTAATCACGAGTGGTCTGTGCTTTAATTTTCCCCTCATTTCCCCTTTTTTCCGTAATTCGTAGACTACTGGTCGATCTCCTTATTCTTTATAAAATTAAGGCATTTACGTTTTGCTCAATATTTCCTGTCGGAACAGATTCCGAACCTCGTGACCGACTTCGAGGCGGCGAGCATGTACGAGCAGAAAACTACGAAGACTGAAGATGCTTCGGAAGAAGCGGTGAAAAAAGAGGAGACGAAGCCTGAAGAAGACGCCCCGGTCGCTGCGGAATAATCGGCAAATTGTAGTGGTAACGCGTGACGAAAAGACCATCTTTCCTATCTCTATTCTCCGTGCGGGATTTTACTCGTAAAAGAAAAAGAAAAGAAAAAACTGAAGAAAAGGCAAGGAATAAACGCGATTCCTACCGAGTCTCCCAAGTGCCTTCCCACAGGGTCGAGCCGGGTCTTGCATTCTCTGTCGCTATTGTTTCGCATTCCTGGCTTTCGTTCGCGCTGTTTTGGTTGAAGTGTCGTGGATGAGGGAATGGCATTGTGCGCTGCGTCGTTCCTCGTGATGATCAAGCAGCGAACTTCATGATTCCTGGTGAAGTGAGGATAAACTTTTTCTGCCAGAGGGATAACTTTCATTCTTTCTTCTTGAATAATTCGATCACTTCCCGTCTCTCGCAATTTTTTCGACTGATTTCAAATTACTTCAACTAATGCAGGATATTAACTTTCGACGAATTACGATTTTATTTCTAATTATATCCATTCAGGAGTTCTATCGTATTTCCCTCAAAAAGGACTTATAGTATTTTGAAAGTTATTTTTGAGAAATATCAGACACCTTGGCAATCCCAGCTTTACCCAAAAAAAGCAATTTCAAGATTTTAAATTTGTATTTCATAATCCAGGGCTGAATAATATTCTAGTATGACAGGCGTAGAATTGAGTTAGAAGTAGAACAATATTTTATACTGTGACAGACAATTCCAATCCGGGAAAATAATTATTAAATATTTATTCTTGACGAGAAGCGTCGAATTCTAATTATCGCCGAAATTTTGTATTTTATGAAGGAAAAAAGATTATTTCATATGCTTATATATTTCTAGTAATACCTATTCATGTTTGGATCTTCGTTTTTCTCTCAGAACGACGTTGGATTCTTGTTTACAGTCGCTGCATTGATATGCTTATCAATATAAAACACGCCCTAATAGTTATTTGTTACTTTATGGATAACGAAGTGGACGTTTTGCGAATCATCAATATTCCGTGGGAGAGGTATTGTCAGTCGAAATCATTGGGTTTGACTGTCACTCGATACAAATGTGCATCGTAATTCAGAACCGAAACTGTTCAATTTTTCTTGAGTGAAGACTTATGTTCACGCGTGAATCCGCGCGCGATGGAGTGTGTTGTGTGTGGTCGTTCGTTGAAGCCGGACGGTTGCGTGTTGACCACTACGACCAGACTTCCGTACTCGAATCGCAACATCCGAGATTTCCTGGATGAATATTCTGTATTGTTGTCGAAGTGCGGAAAAGACACATGGCTGTGTTTCGATTGTTGGACATTGGTTGCTCGTTGCGACGAGCTACAGAACACCGTGGAGAATTTTATTGGATCATTGCGTAGCTCCCATCAGCGAAAACAGCTGCGAGGAACGGAAACTCTACCGGAAGTGAAAGTGAGCCTCATGCCTTTTAACCAGTTTTCTGCGCTCTGATCTGTTATTCAGGCCATGTCATGCGTTTTTATTATCTTGAGTGCTGTACACGGCATTTTTACGTACATCTGCAATGTAACGCTGAATAACATCCAGTACAGTATATACTTATCGTACGATGTTTCAAAAATTCTAAGAAGAAAATATTATTTATTATGCCTCCTATTGATGGTCCATAAAAATAAAGTTTTTTTCCGAGTTGGCCGAAGTCACTGCCCAGCAAATAATTTGAGCATATGATGGTCACGATGGAATTTTACTCGTACACAAAATTTTTCCGAATGACATCCTATTCATTTTGTCTCGAGGGTATTGTCGCCGTGGTACGATGAGTTACAACGTCTCAAAATTGAGGCATTCTTTATTTTTTAAATTTTTGCTGAATATTTTTGAAATCGCTCGACTGTTTCCTCCCCAGGTACGGTCCACACCGCAAAACTTTCATCTAAAACTATCGTAGCATTAACGAGTGTTGACTTCGTTATTAGCAGTATTAGCATTATTTACTTGATTTTTTTCCTTAGATCGAGTTTGAAGAAGTCGTTTGCAAACCGGATCATTTTCTAGAACCTGCTGCGAGTTCAATTCCATCCGAAGATGCGGATCAGTCAATGGAGGAGAGCGTCACGAAGCTGGTAACGTTCTGGGGTTGTTCAAATGATGGTTTGTCTCGTTGAGGATGCTTTTTTCGCTCTGCTGCAGTTTTATACCATTCAGAATATGTTTCGGTTGAGCTGATTGGAACACATTTCACGAAGTTGATGAGAATGCATTTTGTTAATTTATTTAGAGTAGATGCGATTAGTTCTGTTGGGATATGACTTTTTAAATTACGTGTGACAGGAATAGTCTTGGCTTGTACATTCCTGCAAGATTCTTGACCTTTCCTTTATTCTGGGTTTTTTTTATTAGGGTCGGATATCGTTTGAAGAAGCGGCACGTTCAGAATATCAAAATATAAAAAAAATTATCGATTGCAGCTACAATTTAAGGGATTACCGATTGCCCAGTATTCCTAAGAATAAACGAATAGGATGTCTCGAAATGTAGCGTTTAATTGAGGCAAAAATACTTATTCTTCGTTTTTTCCGTTTTCTTTTAGGCTGCTGATGAAAACGATCCCCTGGCAGAGAAGGAAGCGAAAAGGAAAACAAGAGCGTCTAAATTTCAGACTGAGGGATCAGAAATTTCAGAGAAAACTCCTCGAGAAAAAGTGAAGAAAGTTACGAGAAACCGGAAACTTCGGAAAGAAGTACCCGTAGAAGTTCCGGAATCGGATGAAGAAAATGAAGCCAGCGTGGATACATTTTCATTGCCGGACAGCGATTCTGGTGAGGATAGTTCGGGTTCGGACTACACACCTGAAGAATCGCGAGCGTCGGATTCGAAGAGCGGCCAGTTCTGTCCCGAGTGCAAAATTTCCGTGCTCGGGCTTGATTTTGCGAAGCATTTGAAAGATGCTCATCCAAATTCGACCAAGAAAAAACCCGTGGCGTTGCAATTACTCAAGTGCGACCAGTGTTCGTATGCAAATCCGAATCGAAGAAATCTGGCATTCCATAAACAGTACCATCACGCCGAAGCGAAGCATCCTTGTGGACAGTGTGGTCGTGGTTTCAAGCGGAAGCGTGATTTGATTGCGCATGAGCACAAGGAGCATCTCAAGATCCCGCTCGTGCGGTGTGAAGATTGTGGTAAAGAATTCAACTCCACATCAGGTATGATTGTTTCCATCTTGACATGGTGATCTCGGAACGACGCTTATTTGGTCATTGTGAAAATTTCAATTCTTAATTGCCAAAGCTGCCTTTTAACGCAGCATTGCTGAAAAATAATAATTCTGATTACCATTCTCCTGTATCCTTCAACGTTTTGAACGTATTGTACCATCAAGATTTACAAGACATGTAGGATCACCAATCAGCACATTATTCTGATTATTGGATATTTAAATACAGTATTCACGCGTCGTAAAGATATGCACTTGAGGAATCTTGGTAAAGTTTTGATTGATCAAGCAAAAACAATTTGAGAGCATTCAAGTTTTTCAGATGTTCAATTATCCATGAAATTGTATCATCTGTATACGGAAGTCCCCTGTATTAGGCTTTCTAAAATCTAAGTGATAGATGTATTACGGTAATAGAATAATTCGCATTGTGTTATTTTAGTTTGTAATTTAACGATTGTAATACAATTCTGATCATCACCATACTTAGTATGAGATGTAAGTGTCTAAATGTGTTACCATTTTTGCTGAAACAATCTGTTGCAGGGACCATTTGAACAAAAAACTACAGTACATATTTTTCAACGTAATGTATTGGATCAGTTGAGCATGAAACCATCGTATTTTACTTTCTTGGAAAGGTTAGCATAACTGTGATTTGCTTTTTCAATATCTTGTACTGTATTAGTTTTATATTCTCTCCGTTCACGTTTTACAATTTTATTTATTCAATTTTTTCATGGGATTTACGCATCTTAATCATAAATTCGTGACCTCTTTCAAAGGTTTGCGAATGCACAGAATGCGGCATCATTCTGATCAGCCGGTACCGACGCGGTTCTGTGCCGAATGCGGCCTGGAAGTCGCCATCGACGTGTTCCCCGTGCACATGGCGCGTCACCGGCACAAGGACAAAACCTACCCGTGCCCGCACTGTGACAAGGTTTTCCTCACGGGTGCATATGTCCGCGTCCATGTCGCCAAAGTTCACGGGATCGGACAAGTGAAGCTCAAATCGCGCGACATCCCCAAGCAGTGCACCGAGTGCGGAGTGCAGATGAAGGGCGACGAATTTTTCCGGGCGCACATGTTTACTGAGCACGGGATCGAGTTGCCCGGGCTTCGCCGCCTGGATTGCGAATACTGTGATCGTGTGTTTTACAAGAAACGCTCCTACGATTTTCACGTAATGGAGCATACGGGTGAGAAGCCGTACAAGTGTGACCTGTGTGGCTATTGCGCTCGTCGGCCAGGAAATATCTGGAGCCACAAAAAGTTCAAGCACAAAATAATATCGGGTCAGAAAAAGGCGGAGGCCAAATCAGAAAATGACCCGAGTTCTGCGACTGATACCGCTGTTGCCATAGGTGACGATGCGGATAAATCTCAATGACGCTGAAGAAAACCGCAAAATCTCCATCTCGACAGATTCTATATTTGTAGAGCTTTATTTTATATGTTTTTGTCCCTGGACGTCGTTGTTCAGACGTGTTCCTAAAGTTACCAAAAATCTTTTCGTATGAAGTGAATTTTCGGTTTGTAAGTAAAATGAACATGCGATTTTTGCTTCAGGCTCGCACCGTGTTATGTTGAGAGCATTGACAAATAAAGCAGAATACCTTACACCTTTTGATTTATTCCGAGTTGAATTCTTTTTCATCCTACCCAATACGTAAAACGAGTGGTGACTCAGGTCACATCAGTAGGTGTTTCTTCGAGTTAGGTCCACTCTCATATTCCTTTTGAAAGTGCCGCTGTTTCACTTGCCCAAGTCAAAGTCAAACACTGTTTAAAACCCGAAGTTGTGAGGCACAATAGAAAGTTTCAGATGTGCATGTCACTAAAACAGCAATAAGAAAAACAAGACATGTCATCATATATAACGTACGAGAAAGTTCAGAAATAATGCGCCTCTAATGGTAAGGGTAAATTGCCCCACAAATTTATTGATGGAGTACAATGGGAAAGGGAAGAAAATCCTGTGACTTATTGGACTGTCTGGTACTGCGTTTGACCCAGATTTTTTGTTCATGTTTGAGTAGTTTCCATTGTCCTAGTATCTGCAAGACTTTGAAAATCGAATATTTTTGCATGGTCAATGTAAAAATAACAAAGATAATTTATTCAAACAGTGGTGGGTAAAATGTTGACATGATCTTGAAACTGCATAAAGTATGTCGAATACAAACTAGCTTACTGTTCAGATCCAAGGCAGATACACAACTGGTGTTTTAATCAGGATTTTGCTTTGATAATTCTCAATGAATGCTTTTTATCTGTTCCAGGCCGAAGTGAATTTTCCAAATGCAGTGCCAATTCATTCTATTCAGTACATGAAATGGTGAATGGAAGTGAAGATGGGTCCTAAAAAGAGTGGCTCTCAAAGAAGAGTCATAACTATTGAAATGAAGAAAGAAATTATCAGGAAGTGCCAAGCAGGAGCAAGAGGTGTAGATCTGGCAGCTGAGTATGGGGTAAACAAATCAACTATAGCAACAATCTTATCCAACAAGAAGATCTTAGAAGCTAATGTTGCGAAGGGTGTTTCAAGACTCTCATCAAAACACAGGGAAAGTCTTCATGAGGAAATGGAGTCATTGCTCATGATTTGGATCAGTGAGAGACAAATGAAAACTGAAAGCACTACCCAAAAAATCATCTGCCGGAAAGCAAAAGCCATTTATGAGGAATTGAAAAAGTCTGTTCCAGGAACGAGCTCACAATCAGGAGAAGGGGAGTTCAAAGCTAGCCGGGGATGGTTTCACAGATTCAAAAAAAGAAGTGGGATGCACAGTGTCATTAAGTGTGATACCCAAATTGCTGACAAAGAAGAATCAGCCAAGTTTGTTAAAAAGTTCGAGCATTTTTTGATTGAAGAGAATTGCCATCTACCTAATCTCTTCAGTGGTAAGGAAACTGGGGATTTTTTTAACAGAATGTCTGAAGAGATTTGCACCACAGAGGAGGGAAGAAATTTTGCTGGTCACAACCCTGTTGAAGATAGACTATGTCAGAAACCATGGAAAGAAGTCTTCCAGATGACCCTCAACTCTGCATGGAAGAGTCTGATTCCAGCTTACATCCAGAGAGAAACAGCAACGGGTCAGGATGTGGTGGAAGAAATTAATGCAGCTAACAACCTTGAATTAGATGAAGATGTGAAGGATCTCATTTTGGAACATCATGAAGAGCTTACCAGCACAGAAGGGCTGCCATCTACCCTGAATCAGAAACCAAATATTAAGTTACAGGAAATTTCTTCTGTAGAAAAAGAAAACAGCAAGTTACAGTTTATGTCAACAGCAGCCATCAAAGATCTTCTGAGGAAATGGGAGGAGATCAACACCATTGTCAAAGAATTTCATCCCAATCATGCAGAGGTCAACAGAGTGTCAGATCTGTTCAATGATATTGCAATTGACCACTTCAGGTCTAAGCTGCAGGAGAGAAAAAGGCAGACCACCTTGGACACGTTTTTTAAACCCATGCATTCCAAAAATGTAGAAGAGGTTGAAGATGAACAATTTTATTCAAAGAGAAGAAAATATTGATGCACATTTCTGTGTTCATTGGTTTGCACAATTTTATGCTTTACAGTCTAATCCAAGTTCAATCCAAAATGTTTGCAAATTCTTCAAATGTAGGTTGATCATTTCTTTTCATACTTCTGTGCATCTTTTTTCAGGGGAATTCTGGTTTCTATTGTCCGAATTTTGTGTGTTCCTTTCATTGCCTGCTCTGAATGTGTGAATGGTGATTATTGTGGAAAGGGGAATGAGCTGGAGCACAGATGCATCTCATGTCTCCTTTTTAGCCAGCATACTTCACAAGGGTGAGTTCTGTTTTTTTTTTTTTTTCTTTGCAGTCTTGTTTCCTTTTATTAATCAGTACCAAGTTAATATCCCACGCAACTGTGTCGAAAATCAAATATAAAATCATGAGCCGATTCGGTGTTGTGTCTCTGATGTTACCATTAATGATGCGGATGATGAACCTCGTCAAAGCAGACGAAGTCTTGAAAGATGATACGCATCTCCTGAACTCTTGCCGTCTATGTAAAGCTTCGTTTTCGTTCTGAACACACGCGTTTCCATAGTTGCCAATAATCTCTTTGTTTAACGTGCATTTTTACTTCTGGAGTAAAATATGCATGCCAAATTTGTTTCATGTTAGTACCGTATTACGTGCGCGAGCAGTGAAAAATGAACAGGATTTCCATTATACCGTATCATATTTTTCCCTCCGAGTTGAATTCTGTAAACAATATCGAGCATCCGTTCGCAACGTAATAAGGGGAAGTCAGTGAATCCCGTCGCATCATCAAGTCGCGCAACTGTAAAAATAACTTTCATTGTCGACTGTCATCGGTGATCGGATTCATTCCCAAACACGTCGCTACGGAAGTGTCTCCAAAATCGTGGTTATCTTCACGCGATCAAAGCTGTGAGTGGTGGGATAGCTTCCAAGTACTTTTCCAGCTGCGTTCAACAAGAAGTCCCCTCCCATCATGTAATAATCCGGTTTGTAGCCTATTTCCTTGGGGTTACCAATTGCATGCTTTCCTGCGAGAATTTCCTTCGCGTAAGACGACATCGCTTCGTGGGAGAAAACCTGGTATGAAACGCGTCTCTTATCGTCATAAGGCACTCAGATGAGGAATTAAAATGCATTTGAATTCATACCTTCTGGAAAGATCGTGATAATCCGAACGTTGAATAAAGAATTCGATGCGGGTCTAGGATTATTGGTAAAGTCGTCTTTACGGACTCTTTCCATTCGTTCGCGACTGCGGCGTCCAAAAAGCTCACGATTGCGATGGTGCATTTCTTCGCGTTGAACGACTCCTACATTAAAGGCAGAATTATGGAATTTAATTTTGATCGCATAAAAATGCTCAATCGAATACCTGGCTTACGAACGGAATAACATTGTTAGCGAATGCTGGTTATTATTGCAATTCTTCCCTGTACGTATTGGAGCTTCCTTTCCGAAATCAAGAATTTGTTTTTGAGAGTGAGAGAGAAGGCACGTAAAGTATAATGAGTGCATCCTAGGATAATCCAAAGTATATGCGACTATGTATTCGCTTGGTAATTTTTTCGTGCTTATGTTCGTTTTTCTGACCCGAGAATTTTATTCATCTGAAGACGAAATTGTACTTTTTGAAATGTCGTTACTGTATGTCGAACATGTGTTTGATCTTATGCGCAGGACCTTCATAAGATTAATTGAGAAATACGGTGCGGATATTTCGAGTGAAAATCTGTACGATGACATTGCAAAGTTTAAATATTGAGTAACATATCCCTGCAATATATGGCAATACAAATGTTTCTCTATTCAGAAGATGAAACTCGAATTGTTGACCTTGGCTTTCTCCAACAACTGCACATGACTGCGTCACGGTAGTCATCCGAAATGACGCATGAGAGTGTAAAGCGTGTACTCGTTCTTAGCTAGAAAATCGCCGAACACATGTTGTTGCCCGTCAGCATCCTGCAGGATCAAATTCCTCACGTCCTGCGGTAATTCGACTCCCAGCGCAACGCCTCCCGCGTCAGCATTCCCCGTTTCTTTATCCAACGTATTCAAATAATCGTTCCATCGGTTTTCGGCGTCCCAAAACTGCTCTGCGGCAGCTTTGGTTTCGACGCAATCGAACTTCATGGCGATGATCTTGTTGAAATCTTCTAGACTCGAAACTCCAAGTCTTGGGAGTAGAATCCGAAGAATTCATGTGTGGTCACGTTCGCGAAAAACACACGTCCGTATGAGTACTCACGTTTCAAATGCAGCTTTGTAAGAATTCATCGCTCCGAACAACCGCAGTATTTCTTCTCCGACTGTCTCGGCATCACCAGGGGAGAGGTCGTCTCCACATTTGGCTGAATTTATTGAAATTCATACTTGAAATCGTGATTCTATATTGTGGTTTAGTTACAGTATTTCTTTCTCGATTTTACCTCGGATATTCTGTTTTACCTCCCCTCGGAAAGTATCAAGTTGGCGAGATAGTTCATTTACAACACTGTGAATTTTCACGTTAGATGTATCAGGAGACATTTTTTCGCAAACTCATGGAGGATAGTGACTCATGCATGATCAGCCCGTCAGAAACGTACGATACATCCGCTAATCTTCACTTCCGCGTTCTACGATGCGTTGTCATACCGTAGTACCTGGAGGAGCCAAATTAATATACAATGAAGTACAGTACAGTGTACGACTCCTGCCGGTGACACATGGCGGCTAACTTCAATGCAGTATCCATGTGCAATGGGGAAATTTTTAAGTGCGGTTATTGCGCGAGGATTGAAATTTAAATTTTCCTTGAAAATGTCAGATTCCATTTTTCCATGTTGTCTTTTTCCCAAAATCTTAGCACTCAAATTGTACAGTATAGTATTACGCATATACTGTAGTCAGTGTAGTGTAATACCTTTGGAGCTGGTTACAACAATCGAAGTATGTCTTCCACGCGAGGGTAGTCGAACGGATGCTCGAAATAATGAGCTAGAATAATGACACCAGAATTACTTCGTACAAGGAAGTCACCGGGAGAAAGAAATACTTCCGGTGGTGTCCCTTCGACGTTTCCAAATTCTCGGACCGGATTCTTCAATTTGAACTCTGCTTCAGCTCTGAGTGCAGCTGCACCAAATACCTGTGGGGTTAACAATTTTTCTTAATTCCCTGTATCTTCTGCATTTGTATATCTCGTCAATCTAGGATGAGGTTTTTGGTCTCTGATATGAGCCACGTACCTTTTTGCAATCATGAGCCAGTCCAAACTTTCGATGAAAGCTTAAATATGGGTCGCATACCATCTCGTTGAACTTTATCTGCATCATCTTCGCGTATTGTTGTGCAATTTCCATGTCCCACGAACAAATAAAAAGGAACTTGCTATCTCGTGCGGCGAACTTGTCCTGCGCGAAATTTTAAGTTTGGCGTCAAACTCATTCAATCGGATTTGTGTTGCTGTACAGGACTTCAACATTTTTAGAGCAACATACTCCACGCGCAAACATATTTTCCCCGCATTACCGGTTTTTTTCCTTTGCCCTGTTTAGCACATGGGTCATCAGCCCGTGCGCAGATTGACTCATGTTTATGAGCGAATGCGCATTATAGTTTCGCCTTCCATAAAAAAAATTCTTTGAATGAAAGAGGACATAATGTACAAAACTGTACACGATAACATTGTAGCTCTCCGCTGAAAAAAAGGCCGTACAGCATAGTGCATGCTTTTGAATACGGTACTATTAATAAGTTTAATTCGTGAAAATAATTTTTGATGCTCAACTCTTCTTGCAACCAAATCCCGAACGTGAACTTTCCCGGCGAAGCTTTTGTGGTCGCTCAAGAAAACGAATAAAACTTTTTCGGTTTCCAATAATGATCCCGGAGTTCTGCCCGTTTCAGGGACTGATTGTGAAACAATTTCAAAACGCAAACGCTTCTTGTTGAGGAAAGCTTCTTCCAGCTGATCCCCTGCCGATACTTTCTTCGGCACTCCGATGTCATTATAAACAGATTCGTGGTATACTTGTCTGGTCCATGTATCGAGTTGCATGTTCCATGTTGATTCCAGATTTTTTATGGATTGCCAAACATTTCGTAGGTCCTCGTTGCTACTTTTTTCGATTATTCTTTGAATTTCGTCCCATCGCTTTCGTTTGAGTCTGTTACACGCAATAAAAAAAGGTTGGAATTTTATTGCCACATTCCTGGTAAGGAAGATTTTATAAATAATGAATTTACTTTTTCAAGGCGGTGAGATACATTTCCGATCCATTGTCCATCAAACGGGGCAAAAATGTGTTCAAAACACCAACCGTGGGTTTCTTTCCTCGCCCGGACGTGTTTCAGCATAGTAACTTTGATTCCGCTGTTATTTACAAATTTTTTTCGAAATTTTTGAATGCACAAATTGTATTGTAGTTTAAATCAACCAAGTATCTGAATGATGGAATATAAAGTATATCAGAAAACCTGTGATGGTTGACAAGGTATCCTGCGTTCTGCGTGAGAGCTGTCCGAAAAGATCTTGCAGAACCTTCAATGTTTCTGTCTCTATCGCGATGTTCCCCGATGTATCTATTCGAGTTATCTTATCCATAATTCTACGATGTAAATTTTGTTGATAATGCTAATTTTTCGATAACCTTTTGTCTTATAAATGCGGCCTGAGCATGTCTCATTACAATACAGAATAAGAATTAACTTGAAGATTAATACTGAACAGTCCTGTTATTGTACAGTATTTAAATTAACGTGAGGAAAATGTCCTGGCCTACCTCGAAAAGCCGTTGATTGGATTTTAGGTTGGGAATGGAAGATTGAAATATAATCTCAGTGTTAATATTTTCAAAGGTTTTACATTCATGAAATCATTTGTAAGAGACTAACTGAAGTACAATGCAGGACAGTGTAGTCGAACGTGGTTTCCTGATACTTTTTATATGTGAGAATATCGTTTTTAGCGACATCTGCTTTATTAAGGGTGCATGACGTGACTGCTGTGTGCTGAACGTTTGGGATGCGGTTGAGACCCACTTGTCTTCAACAGCTCTCCGAATTCACTACCAGGAGCGTCAGTTTAACTTGTGGCTTGTCAATAAGCGAAGTGAATCTGTGAACGCTGGAAGATTGAATCTTAACATTTTGGAATTGCCTGGGAAAGTGACGCGAGGGGAATACAGTGGTCTTTGAGCTTCCTGGCAGGTAGGCAACATTCTGTCTTTTTTTTTTTCGAATATAATGAGTGATGTGCACATGTGTCAGGATAGAACGCTGAATTGAATACTTGCGTTTTGACTGATATTTTTGCAAGAAAAAAAGCAGATTTTTGGCGAAAGCTGGAATCGGGAAGTTATAGGTTATTCTGGTTTTTCCGTCTGCGAACATTGAGTGATTCAACTCGCTGAATTTACTCTCGCCCTTCAAGCTTAAGAAATGTTATTCATATTCTTGCATAGATAAGATTCTGCGGGAAATTCTGGATTGACGGCTATGAAGTTTTCCCGGAAAGAGGTGTCGGCTGAAGACGTCCGAAAACTGTACAAGTATGCATTCGAAGAAATACTCTCTCCCTGCGGTTTTCTATACATAGAACTTTTTCACAGAACATCAGCCGATCTAGTGTCTCGTCTCGATCGCATATGCAAGTCCGCGCGTGAACTTCAAGATCTCTTCAGTGTCGAAGCCATCGTCGCTCGTCAACAACTGTGCGACATTTTATCTCAAATTTTGGAAGGGGATGAGAATGACAAATACTCAAAGAAATGCCTGGATTTAATGTGGAAAAAGATTTACTATGACGTGGTGAATGCCGCTCGGCAGCTTAGAAGAGGATCTCGTTGGCAAGACGTTGATAAAGCTATGCTGTGTTCTCACTTGCAAGCTGGAATCGGAAACTATGAATATCTTCTTATGGAATTGGGATCTGTTTCTGATCTCAAGTCCTTGGGAGGAAATTTCTGGGTGTCGGCGCCTTGCAGTTTCATCCACGAACCTGGTGAGATGTATTTTCTCGTCCAACTCATTGAACTTTCACGTGATACATGTGATTTACATCAAGATTCCAGCATTGAAAAGCCACATCGTCCAGCTAGTATGGATCGAATACATCAGTGCCTAATTGCTTTGGGAGATTTGAGTCGGTACCTCAATGATATCGATTCTCCGTCGCTGGACGGAAGGACCGTTAATGGAGCTATGGCATTACAGTATGTTCTTCTTCTAACATTGAAATCAATGCATGCTCTAATTTCTGGTTTTAGATTTTATGAAGCAGCGGTTTTGTTGAATCCAAAGATTGGTATGCCTTTCAACCAAATCGGGATGTTACTTGGTCATCGAGGAGACTTTATTGGAGCTACGTTCAACTACTGGAGGAGGTATTCACTCAATATCAGTTGAATAATTTATTTTGAGGCATTTAGATAAGAGGGTTTTGTTCCTTAATTATTAGTCTACCTACTGGACGAAACATTTCTGTGAAGATTATTATCCTTATTAACGAATTTTATTCCTTGTCTTGTCTTGAGCATTGTCGGTATTCAAATCTCGAATTGGCATTGTAACGTGGGAAAATGTATGTTGTGAGTTCTTCTTTTCAATTGAAAAAACATTTTAATCGCATTCTGCAACGTTTTTAAATGGTTGGAAGTTAAGATGGTTTGAATCCGAAAAAATTCTGAACGTGGTACGTTTGGTAAGTCAGCGAGCAATAATGCACTTTTAAGCAGAACGATTTGTACTTTTCAGTCTTTCAGCCGAACAAGTTTTTGAAGGTGCGGTGGGTAACTTGAAGATGCTCGCAGAAAAACTGCGGAATCAGAAGATGGAACAGCCGGTGCAAGCTCTGGGGAAGTCCATTGTTTTGTTTTCGAAAATTTGTATTGCTGAGGAAGATGGAGATGATGCTTTGATGGTAAGAAATTCGCTTGTTCCAGCGATCAAGTGGTTATTGTATTGATTCATCTTTCTTCAGATCGCACAGGATCTCTCCGACTCTTGTAGTGGTGTTCTTGAAAAAAGTCTGTGCAGTGAATCTATGTGGATGAAGCTGGTCATTATTCTGGAGTCCTGTCTTTCTGTATTCAAGGAAAAAAGTATGTTGAGCATGACCTGGAAGGCAAGAGCTGATGTATTTAATCATCGTATCTTCTCATCAGGTAGCGACACCTGGGGCGCGAAAGTTTGGACTGTGTTTCGTGTTATGGAACTGGCTTCGTCAAGTTTACTTCGTGAAATTTCGAAGTACCTGGAAGAAAAAGGTGTATGGGAAGGTGTCCATAATTATCTCAAAAATGCTCGGAAAATTTGGAAAAATAATTATCCAGAGAAGCAGGTCATCGTGGGTCAAGAAGTTGAAGATGCACAATCAATTTCCAGTGATGGTGAGTCTCGAATGTCGCAAAAAAATTAGATTGAGAAAAATTACTCAGCAGCTCTACGTAATGGGGATTATTTTTATAGATTCCGCAGATTTCATTATTGAAAGTGATACCGAGTCTGAATCCAGCGAAAAAACGCCTTTAACTGAAGACAAGGTGTCCGATTCGGAGTTCCACACGCCAGATGCCATATCACCTGCGCCAAAATCAGAAGAAGTTTCTCTGGAATTGAACTACGAAGTTATTTCTGGTTATCTCCTCGAAGCGTTGTCAAAATCAAGTCTTCTCTATGGACTGGAACATTGCTTTGACGTTCTGAGGCGAAACGTAGAGTTACTCAGAACATGTGGCACCCAGCTGGCGGCATTTTTTCAGACGGCAATTGATGTGGCAAACCTGTTTTTGATATTCTCAAAATCTGTCCCAGGTACTGTTTGATGTAGTACTGAATGAAGATTTACGCATGGCATGTTCACTTCGTCGTGCGATTCAGATTCTGTCTCTAGCACTGCCAGGCAACTGGTGAAGTCCGCGAATTTCCTGGAAGAATTCTCTTCGATCAAGAAAAAAACTCTTCGCGACATTCGAGGGTGTTCCCTGGCCAAGAAATCTGAACTTGGCGGTGCGTCAACCGCTGTTTTATGCGACACTGATGAGGTTTGTTCTATTTTTAGCCATTCTTTGTTTTTATTCCTATAACGTTTTCCCCTGGCAGGTGTATCTCTGTACACAAGCTATGTGTAAAATGGTGGATTTGTTGACTGATCTGGATGCCACTGGCGTTCGGTTCAGCTTGGACACGGATTGTTATTTTTTAGAAGATACCGCATGTCCCGTTGTGACAGCGGAATCTTCTGAGGAGTCGATGCAAAAAGTAAGCTTGCTTCGAACTTCTTTTGTTCCGCCCTCGAAATGTTTTTGCAAGAAAAATACGGTAGTAATATATCAACGAATATGTTCTGGTTTTTGCCCCGTCAGTATTAATAGCTCTGTTTTCCAGTTCGTTAGCTACAGAAATCAAGAATGCGAAGATTCCTTTTCATAACTGCCGGAATTCATTTCGCTTTTGCCGTTTAGACTGAATTTACTTCAACTGGGGGGAACGGTGTCAATGGAATGGACTAGAAACTCTTCTGGAATGTGTATGAATTGATTTGATTTTTTTCTGAGGATTTAAAACTGCAGTATTTGTACCCTGACCAAAAGACGGTTTCTAAATCTCAACTTCTCAACTTTCCCTCTCATCTGAGTTTCTTTGTTGTTTTGGTTGGCTTTAGTTACTTTTTTATTTTTTCAGCTTTGCGCCGAATTGACGAAAGCGTACAAAATGTCTGTAATGGCTCAGCAATACATTAAGAGTCAAATAGTAGCCAAAAAGGATGGACCGACACCGTGTCCACCATATCTCATTCCGGATGCAGCTGCGATGACTGAGCATTTGAAAGTTGTTCAAAGTTTACTCAAGTCTGGAGACAGAGTACTGATTATGCCACGAGCCGTCTGGCTTGGATTGGACAAATTGAAGACCAAGTCTAGGAAAGCCCGAGACGCCATTCGATGGCTCGAACAAATGACCAAGCGTGACGACGGGAAATTCAGGTTTCAGCGGAACAACGAATACATGAAAGTGGGGTTTGTTAAATGCCCGAAAACCAACGTTAGAGATAGTTGGCACGTTCTCGAAGTACTAGAATGCTGCTATGCCTTAGCGAAAAAAGGCGTAGATGTCAAGAAATCACTTTTTGGCGACAGGTGAGTCCCTTCTGAAGTACTGGCAGAACATCCTGATTATACAGTATGCTTTGGTGCGATAATTTTTCATCGGATGTATGGATAAACAATTTGAACATGAATCATTTTTCTTACGTTGAAATCTGTTCGATTACTATTTCTCATCGATAAGTTAATTACAGTAAAGTATATGCTAGCTTAGTTGAGTTAAATGTTAGCTTAGTTGAGTTAAATGTTAGCTCATTTGATTTTTCGGTCAGATTTGCTCAATATTCGTCTAGTATAGTTGTCAAATTCGGTTACTGAGATCTTGGATTAGGTTTTTGAAATTGTGGATTACATTTCTTAATTTTTGGATTAGTTGTGTACAGTATTTTATTAAATGACCTTTGTATTGAGTAAGGGTCAATTAGATTGGATAATTCCGCGCCAATCACGATGAATATAAAAATAAATATTTTTTGCACTGCTTCAATGATTGTTTATTGTAGCGAAGACGAATGTCCTGCTTGGGAGAGTTCCACTGTTCTATTCCTCGTTGCTGGTTTCGATGTTCATCAAAAAAGCGTAGACGATGCGTTTACCTACGTGACGAAACCAACTGCTGATGCAACGGTAGAAACGGAAATGACCGCTTTAGAGATAGCTCATGCACTTGGTACGTCCCGGATTAAAATCGCTCAATTCGTGGGAATAATTTCTTTCGATTTTCCCCGATAGGTGTGCGGATGGAAAACTTGAAAAGCTATTACGCCGATTGGAAAAGCTCCATGAAAAGCAAATAATCATCCCTCGTTTTAAAATTTGATATGTATCATCGATTTCGGTTGACTGTGAAGGCTAATCTAACTGTTCGTATCGTTTTTCCAGAGTGTGTGTATTGTGCATGTATCCATTGAGTGTGCGGGTTTAGTTTTCAGTAGAACGGTTCGGAACAATGAGGTTGTTTTCGTTGGCTGTCGCGTTTGCACCGTTGCTATGCGTAGCTTTGGCAGCTGTAGCGCACGTCCACGAGCAGGCTAAACCTGGCCAACGTGAACGAACTGACGACGGCGCATTTAGCCCGAAAGATTCGTCTCATTACGGTCCTGGCGGGGAACACAAGGCCGATTTTGATCACGAAGCTATCTTAGGCAGTGCCAAGGCTGCAAAAGAGTTCGACGATCTTCCCCCAGATGAAGCTAAAGCACGATTGGCTGAACTTGCCAAGACGATGGATGTGGATAAGGTATTCCAATTTCTTCAAGTTTCACTGGTTTATCTTCTTCGTACACAAGATTTAATAGACCATTATTCTTGAAGACCGAGGCTTCGCCTCTGTCCCAAACCCTCAGTTATGCTGAAATATGGGATATGTATTTCCGCGCTCTCACGATAAATATAAAAATACCTGTATTCATTATACTGTAATTCATCATTGTATATATTCGCATGATTTGTTCAACATATTCATCAATTTATCGTTTACAAACTACCCGGAGATCGATACAATTTTGCAAGCACTGTACTGTAGTGTGAAAATAACGTAAGGAATTACGGTATGCATGGATATGACAGAAAACAAATTACGATCAGTTCTTAGATCTTCAAGCATTATGCACTTCCCTTTCCGTCTTGCACTTCATGCGGATGAAGGGGTTGGGGGCCGCGGAATACTGTATAGCATTACTTCCGATTCTTGATATCCTCGGATATTTTCAGGACGGAGGCATTAACCGAAAAGAGCTAAATCAATGGATATTGCGATCTCTGTCGTTGCTTTCCAAAGAAGACGCTGAAGATCAATTCGCGGATCTGGATGTTGATGCAAATGGGAAAATTACGTGGAGAGAAGTTTTGGAAGACTTTGCTGAAGAAGACAGCGATGAAGTTCTAGACGATAAAGAGATATTTGAAAACGCAGATGTCAATAAAGACGGTGCGCTTGATAAACATGAGTTCAAGCATTACACGCACCCTGAAGAAAGTGATGTGATGCGACCATTGCTAGTCAAACAGTCTCTCAGGGAAAAGGACAGAGACGGAGATGGGGCTTTAAATTTCCAGGAGTTTTTGGGCGAAGATGCAAAAGACAAGGATAAGGCCTGGCTTCTTTCCGGTTAGTTACTGTACCTCCGAATGCCGTATAAATATTAAATGAACCAACCAACCCTCTTACTTGAATTATTTCCTCAGGAAGAAATTCAAAGAGGGAATTGCTTTGTTTGTTTAATTTGCTTTAAGTTGCTTGGATTATCAAACTTAATTAATTGACCTGTATTTTGACTGTATCCTATGTGCATTTTTATTGTAGAAAAAGCAAAGTTCGACGCCCAGCACGACAGGGACCGGGACGGTGTGTTAAAAGAAGCTGAGATAGCGGATTGGTTGCTGCCCGACAACGAAGATATAGCCAAAGAAGAAACTTCGCACTTGTTTGCTTATGCGGATGAGAACCACGACGACATTTTGTCGTTGGATGAAATTGTGAAGCATCATGAGGTGTTCGTGGGAAGCGAGGCGACGGACTTCGGAGAGCACCTCAGTGAAGATCGGTTGGAAAGGTTTCAAGATGAGCTTTGATTTCAGTGTCGTTGATGAATGACCTTTTGTCAATGACTTAGTCGTTTCATCTTAACTGAGTGCGCCAAAGCGGTGAACCTTCGTGTGAACCTCGGAGTGGCTAAGAGGCTGCGTCACGTTGATGCCATCTTACAGTAAAGATGTTTGTGTGTGCGTGAATTCAGAGGACGAGTTGATCTTTTATTTGGCAATCATAATTTTAGAAACACCTTGAAAGGTGTAGCCATTTATAAATTTTTTTTAAACGGGAGATGATCGTGAATTCCAATTTCATCCTCTGAACTCACGAACTGCGCGGCTGTGGAGCGTGGCAACATTTTTGTTTGTTTTTTTCAGTGTTTCCAATGATTCTTGAATCCATCTCTCCGACGAAACTCGGATGATTCTTCCAGGTTGGAATCCGCTTCGGCATCGAACCAGGACTAAGATACAGTGCTGTGCCATTTTTGTTCATCCTGTTTTCCCAGATCAGCTTGATCAAATTTTTTATTTGTCGTATATATTTTTTTCAACTTTTCCTAAATTTTACTTCAAAATCAGGACGTGTTTTCCAAAACATTTTTCGAGCCTGTAAGGATATCTTCTTGACCGTGTGACTTTTTCAGTTTCCTGTGAATTTAGTCTCAAACGCGTGTTGCGAACAGAAAATAGTTCCTGGAGAAATCGAAAATACTTGTTGCTGTCATCCGTTCAAAATATTTAATGAGTTTTCGTTAAAAGGATGATTACGGTCTAGTCTGAGAGCGTCCGGTATATTTTATGCGATGGTTGAACAACGTGATGGATCCCATAAACTTGAACGAAGTCGAGCGTTACGTATTGTAGAATTTCTTTTGATAACCGTGATGCCATTTTGAATTTGTGATCAGCAGTACTTCGCGAAAACGAAAAGATCTGACATGAATTGAAGAAATTTTTGCGATTTTCGAAGCACAAAAACTGCAGGAAACTGTTGTATTACGCCCATGTCGACCCAATTATAGTGGATTTTGACATATGTCTCGATTTATTCCTTCTTTTGCGTGTCATTTTTTTTAATCTGACCCCGTTGTTTCTTGTTAAGGTGGACTTCCGAAGTTCTTCATACTTTTTTTTTTTTTTTACGGTGAAATGCTGTGCGTGTAAGGTGTGGCTCGCGGTTTTTCTTTGTTTTCACCGGTGTCATGCTTCTCGCGAATTTCTCGGTTCTTTCTGCGAATTTCGGCTTCAACATGTACTAACGTACATCTGCCGGTATCTGCAATTGAGATTCCAGAAGTTTTAAGCGGTGCAGGATGGATCACGGCAATTTATTTTATTTCATCTCCTCGTGCTCTGAAAATGACGAAGTGGGCATATTTTTATGAACGAAAAATAAATTTGTTCTAGAAGGCAAGTTAATTTGTATCGGTTAATTTTTTTATTGCTCTCCGACTTCTGCCGTTCGTTGCTAATGAAAATATTCTTTCTCCGTCTGATTTTCTTTTATGGTTTTGCTGCATACGCGACTTAAACATGGTATTACGTCTGTATTAATGTCCAAAATCCAGATGAACGTGAATTATTCGTATGATAATGGATTGCATGGTGTGCGGTCGCTCCAGCCTGCCGGGAGATTCCGTGCGTTCTGAAACGAAACTGCCAGCATCAGGCGAAAATGTCGCCAAATTTTTGGAGAAAAATTGTGCGTTGGTGCTCGATTTCCGGATCGAAGCTTTTTTGTGTCGGAGTTGCCTGGAACTTGTGACGAAGTGTGACAATCTTCAGCAAGAATGCGACGCACTGTTGGAATCTCTGCGTTTTTTGATCTGGCAAAAAGATGCCCCTTCGAACTCTAATCCTCACAAGGTACGAAAGTGAGCTTTACAAATGCTTTTGGATTCATTCATTTGTTGAGAAAAGAGTAATTGTCGAAAGAAAATCTGACTTCTGCATATTTTGTGTGTGCGAAGGTTAACGTGAATGCGTATGAAGTACTGTACTATAACTAACTTCGGAAAAAACAAAATGTGTTGATCATAGTTTGTCAAAAACGAATTATTTGTTTATGTAGAGACGGTCTTCGCTTCATTGTCTTGTGTCACTGCTATCGTGAAGCGCTTGATTAACATTCGGGTAGTTATTCCATGCATTCATATTAATTAGTTTTTTCCCGTCAGCTAGTTGTGCAAATGTTTGAAGAATACAGTACAGCATAAAGATTATGGAGAGATTTTTTCTCTGGTAAGCGCGAGACGTTTAGATTTCATTGCATTGATAACTGTTCAGGCAAATTCCCATGATGCTATAAGACCCTTTACAAACGTAAATCGATTTTTTTTAAAGGAAAGTAGAATGTATTCTGTATTTCTGTCGTCAGCTGTAAGATAATTATCTCAATTTTTGCTGAAATGCATTGATTTCTTACTCCGCGCTGGTATGAAATTGCGGAAGTACGACTGCGGGCCAGGAACCAAAATACTAGATACCCGCGCGTGATGGAATCCTTGTTTCTCGCTAACCAGGAAGAAACTGTCAGTCTCGATGAACGAGTTACGGTTGACTCAGGACATCTATCTTATGGTCCAAAAAATACTCCTCCGCCTGAAGTTGAGGAACAAGAGGCGTTTATGCCAGAAATTTTCACGGAATCCAGTGTACGTATTTCTGTTATGCAGTAGCATAATTAATTCATTTGAACTTCTTTCCGTGCTGCTGTATTTCTGCTGTAGTGTGTATACAGTAGAAAAGTGACGCTACGATTTCTGCAGACGTGTGATCTTAGCAGAGCGTTTAATAACTATAAACTCTCTCTTAATACAGTACAGCGGTGCCCCTAGATGCGGACGTAATTTGTTCTCAGGCCGTGTCCCCACTTGTCGGAATGTCCGCATGTCGAATCAAGTTTACTCATAGAGACATAGACTTCAATGGGAAAATTTTGATCACTTTACTTTTTGACAAAATTGAAAAAAATTACCTAAAATGTTTTTCTTATCCTTAAGATGCTGATAATACAGTGCAGTACTAGAGTAAAAACCACTCATGAGTAACCACCAATTAGTGGAAAATAAGCACAAATCTTGCTACACTGTGCTGTACAGTTAAAATTAAGGATAACACTATTTTGAATTACCTTTTTGCAGTACTGCGTATTCTGACTGCGAGCGACATCTTCGCAAGGTAGAAAATGTTTCCTTTTTGAAGTGTTTAATTTATCACATGGAATGTCAATTCTCACTCGATAGCACTTCTCTTGACTCGATGCTATGTCTGGAGTTTTTTTTTTTTCTTCATTTCTCCGAAGCTGCTTGTCTTTACATAATACTTCAATTGTGGTCACAGGATGTCGGTGATACGGACGACATTCATCGATCGCCGAAGGATCACAAACCTCCGGAAGTCAAATTCAAGCGTCGGAAGTCGAACGGGACGACTGCGAATTGTCAAGTCGAAAAGCAGTGTCCCGTGTGTGGCATTCCGGCAGTTCCCGGCCTTTTTACGCAACACATGCGCGAAGCCCATCCCGAATCCAAATACAGACGACCTGTCCTATCGAAGCGACTGGAGTGTGCCTTGTGTTCATTCACTGCTAAAACAAAATCCAGAATGACCCAGCACCGGAATTGCACGCACGGGCTTGGACCCAAGTACCCGTGTCCTCACTGTGGTCTCCTGTTCAAACGAAAATTCGCACTGACTGTTCACGAGCATAAGGAGCATCTGAAGACACCCCTGCGGAAGTGTGGAGAATGCGGGAAAGAGTTCTTCTCGATTCCTGGTAATTAAATTATATTCTGCTACAGAAATTATTCGAATTTAAGACGCACCTTCATTTTTGATGCCCCAAGAATTTAAACAATTTTTGTCTGTAAATTCAAGACGTGCTTTGAATTGAAATTCTCCAGAATAGTGAAGGAATCTGTTGATCCTTCTCATAACTTCCGTTATGAACTGTATTTTTCCAAACTTTCTGAAGAAAATCTCCTGCGTACTGGAAACGATTTCAAGATATTCCCTGGGTATTGGGTCGCTTGAACTTTCAAAACTTGCTTTAATTTTTTATGGCCTTTCACGAACGGAAGTGATCAACGAAGTGGTTTTTTACAAATAATATTACTTTAGCCTTGCTTGACAAGAATGAAATTACTCCACTGTATTGTGCTGGAAAGCTGAAATTTATTCTTCGTATACTTCGATCATTACATTACTGGACAGTAGTTTTAGATTTTAAAAGCTTAGGTCTTTGCATTTTGTGAGAAAAAATTGTATCCCCTTTTTTATTCCAAATGATTGTACAGTAGACTTTCAGAATACATACCTGTAGTCTTAAAATAGACTTCATTAGAATTCCTTGAAATTGCAGGTCTGTTGCAACACGTATCTCGTCATCATCCAAAGAAGCCTGTTCAGACTCGAGTATGCGACGAATGTGGTCTTCAAGTGGACGCCGTGGCGTTTTATTCGCACTCTGCCAAGCACAGGAAGGACAAGATGACTTACCCGTGTTCACACTGTGACCGAGTCTTCACTTGCAAAACGTATCGGCGCCGGCATACGGCCAAGTATCACGGCGTGGGTGAGCTCAAAATGAAATCCTGTGATCGGCTGAAGCAGTGCAGCGAGTGTGGGAAGCAGATGAAGAACGACGAAGCATTCCGAGCCCACATGTTCATGAAGCACAATATCAAGCTTCCTGGGCTCAGACAGTTGGATTGTCGCTACTGTGATCGTGTGTTCTACGTGAAAGCATTATTCAGGTGACCTTTCATCCGATTCTCAAAGTTTGGGCGAGATTTGGTTCCTGGGTTCTGTCAGTCTTGTGCTTCACTTTCCCGATGGATGGAGAAGGACGTTTTTTTTTTTTTTAGAATACATTTTGATGATTTCCTGTACGCTTTTTCCTTTTTTTCATCAGTTGGAAATGGACTCAAGAGTTAAGACGCAGTGTTAGCGACACGGAATTCTGTCTATCGAACCAGAGACATTATTTGATGAGAATTTCCCATATCTGACTACGCTATTAAGATTAAATGGATTTTTCTAACAGTTTAATGCCGATAAGAAAATTAGTTGATATTGTACTGTACACTGTTACAATGCGTATTCATTGTATAGGTCACATGTCATGGTGCATACGGGAGAAAAGCATTTTAAATGCAACATCTGCGGCTATGGGACGCGATTTTCCGGAAATCTCACTAAGCACAAGAAATTCGTCCATAAAATCACACCAACTCTGCGGATAACTCCTGAGGTGCCAACTAAGCAGTCGAGCGAAAATGGCGTCAATGATCAAGAGGAAATGCGGAGCGAAAATTCTCTGAAATCGTCTTGAATTGATCTGTATTGTATCTCCATGTTGTGCAAGGGGTGTGATCCCTCTATTCTTGAAAAATATGTTTTCAAATTGCTTGTGAACTTCGGTTCTCAATGTCAGACGATCTTTCGCAAGATTCCGGTGCATTTGTGAAGTTTTGGGGAAAGCTTGGATCCTTTATTGCAGTAATTTCTTTTTTATCCGTTTTCTTCCGCCGCTTTCAAAGTTTTCGATGTACAGTATTTTTGAAATACATTTTGAAGTGATTTGTATTTCATTATCATTTCGATCTAAATTAGTGCCTTTTTCGAAGAATTCAATACCAGAGCTTTAAAATGATTTAATAGTTATTCTTAAGGAATAGAATGCCTGAAGGCAAGGTTTTGCGACTTCCTGATGTCGCGCTTCGGAAGACATTGAGTGGAAGAATTCGGAAAAGTGCTGTTGACCCCAGAAAGAAGGTAGTTCGAACCGCCTTGAAGAATCCACACGAATTCCGACCGTGAGTGAAAAAATGATTTGTGAATATTATTTTGACAAAAGCCTCCCTATTTCAGAACGGTTGAGTGTCTCAATTAAAGACTTCTACACCTTGACTGACTTTGATATTTAATTTCATAATTATTCCTCTCGGTTCTCTGTACTAAATTCCTGTGAAGAACTTCCTCTTTCAAAAATAATAAGGTTACCAATCAATCAAAGTGTTGAGAGAATTTGCTGTGAAAACGCTGCATATGAAAATAAGGGAGAATATTCAAATTACCTCTAATCCGCTTAATTTTGGTCCGTTTCCTGTGTACCTTCGAGTTATTAGCAGCTCCTCTACAACGAATAATATTTAAAATAATTTAGTTTTAAGGCTTCCTAGTATATATGCGAAGATTCAATATGGAGAAAATTAATCAGAAGCGGGAGAGTAAATCTGCGGCGGGAATTTTTTTTATTTTTAGATTCGATTTGTATTTTCAGTTTGTTAAATTGTGTTAATCATGTCAAGGTTTAGAATTTTAGTGTCTGCTTTACGCCTTTTTTTCAGGGTGGACAAGTTGCCTTGTGACAATGAAGAACTTCTGAAACGGTTAGAAAGGTGAGTTCAGCTCCGTTTCGTGTATTCCTGTGAGTTGTATTGTTTTATTCCATTCAGAATCGCCGACTCCGTAAAGCCCGAGGACAACACGGAATACCGCCAAAAGTCACACGATTTGAGATCCTTGTTCCTGAAGAAAATCCGCGAGATCACCTCGAAGAAATCCCAGTTCCGGCGCAGCAAACAGAAACAGCTCATAGCGGAAGAAAAAGCCCGCTTAAAAGCCGATCTTCTTCAATTGCCGACGCACCCGCAGCGAGTGAAACAAACAAAAAATCCTGCCTTAATATATGGCATAAACAAAGTGATGCGGGCTGTGGAACGTGGCAACGTTTCTCTTGTTTTCGTCGATGCTCAAGACCGTGTATGTCTCGTTGCCAATGCATTGTACGCTGCTTGTCGGGCGAAGGGAATCCCAGCGATGGCTGTTGAGAATCTGGGCCAGCGACTGGGGACAGTGTTGAGTTTGAAGAGTATGATTTGTGCTGCGATTGACCGCAATGCTGATCAGGGTCAGGTTTTTCACGATTTTGCGTTGACTGGAAATTGGACTGATTCGCTGTGAGCTCTATAACAAGTGTACATGCTTCTCTTCTCTGTGGTATATACGGTGTCCAAAAAGTTTCTGCTTGGTGAGGTATTCAGAGAATTCGATTTTTATGAATTTGCATGCAATAGTTATCCGGGCTAGCAATATTGGGTTTTGATAATCATATACTGCATATCAGCTGATAAAAGCGTGTCCTGTATTTTGAAAAATTCCTTATTGCAAATTATTTTCATTAATTTCCTTGCATTATAAGACTCACATTCCAGTAAGTGTCGAAGGGTATTTTACCAGATACACTGATAGAGTATCGTCAAGCCGAGAGACTAAGTGGGTTAAGTAAAGTAAGACTGGTATAAATGCGACTTATTCTTTTCAACTTCTAAAAATGTGACAAGATTAATTTAATTCACGCCCGATGGAATACAAATGCGCTGATCTGAAGATTCTGAACTGCTGAGTTTTTTTTTGTCCCATTGAGAAGGGATTTTTCAAAGTACCTTGGGCGAAATTATGGATTTCAGTGATAAATTACGCTGAATCAGCACAGGATCCCTGTGCATCACGGTACCTCCTGTGTGCTCGTGAGCATGGCTTCAATAGCCTTCGGGTTAATTGGGATCCGAACGGAACGATAAAAAACATATTCGACACTTTTTTCGTTTTTCAAAATTTATTTTCCTTTAATTTGCTGTTTGTATTGTCTTTTAACGGATGCGCAGAATATGCCTTTTTTTCAGTGCATACGATCTTTTTGGACACCCTATGTGTATGAAACCCTATCCGAAGTGATGATTTGTTGCTGGAATACAGTTGGTCACAAACTGATCAAAATGTCCGAGGAATACATTTTATCGATTTGGAAATGTGTGATGGTCTAAATCATTTTTTGTTGTTGCTAGCTCATAAAAAAACTAGAAGAAGCTGAGGTGAATTCTATTTTGCGTCTGTAGTGGTTCATTGTGCAATCCGATTTGTTCTGTTGAAAGTGACTCCATTTTTCGTTTGTGCCACTCTTGCTGCTAAAGATTCGAATTTCCGGCTTCGCAGATAAAGAAAAAAAGTTACCGCAATTTTATTTTTGCTGCTGGCTTGCTTGCTCGTTATTTGCATGTGCATAACTTCCGAAATGGCTGAAGACATGTATTTGGAGCCGGGCACCAACATCAAGCCCTTGTTGACGACCTCAGAAGCCGTCGAAATTTGTGAAACGCTGTACGGGATCACGCCGGATAACATCTCCGAGTTCGTCAGCTACGACGACAGAAACTTTTTGATTCAACGCGAGAGGAGAAACAACTCCAAGGAATGTTTCGTTCTCAAAGTCCTAAATTCCCTTTTGTCAAAGAAACCCGAATACGTTCAGGCCCAAAATGCTCTCATGACCGTCGCTTTGGAGAACGGGATCACAACTCCGAGACTGTGTCCAAATTTGGAAGGCGGTGTCCAGAGAATTTTGACGATTCGGGGAGAGAAGCATTTAGTTCGTTTGCTGACTTACGTTCCGGGGAAGACGTTGTTCGAAGTGCCCTACGAGCCGGACATTTTGTTCAAATGTGGACAATATTTGGCGAGAGTGGACACGGCGTTGGAAGGATTCACTGATGAGAATCTGAAGAACTTCTCGTCTGTGTGGTCTTTGGATGCAGTGGGAATGTTGAGGAAATTTTTCGGAGCTATCCAGGATCAGGATAAGTTGCGCTTGGTTTCAGACACCGTTTCAGAGTTTGAAGCTTCGATTCAAAATGCCAAGGAATTCAATTTACCTAGAGGTATTCGAAGGATAAAATTTATGAAAAGTCTTATTTGGCTTGTTGGCAAGATAGTTCCTGAAGAAAATAAGTTTTAAGAAGTTCTGTGCTTTGTCTTGGATTCTTTTGATGCTTGAGAGATCTTATTCTTTGCTTAAATGTGGAAATACCAAGTCATCATATGCAATGAAAGAAGCAGTACTGAGTTTTTCAAAATATTAAATATCATTGCAAAAGAATGTATTCAATTCCCTGTTCCTGTAGTTCTTAAATTTGATGATATTCATGGAAGAAAATTTAATAGTGTGCTGTATTTGAATTAATGCAAGAAAACATTATACATCACTTTCATCTCCATATACAGAAGCAATCTCTAAGTTTGATTTTTAAAATGTTGCCATTCCTTGAAATGTAGTTGATCAGGTTCTTTTGTTTTTTTTCAACTGCCAAAAAATTGAAGTACTTTTTGCATATACAGTATATATGTATACGAGGGTTCTAACAAAAGTTCTTGGAGTAACAATGAAAATGGCATATAATTGAACTGAAACAAATTTATTCTTCAGGGAAAACATATTCTTTGGCACACACAAAAATCAGCCTGGTTTGACACTTGAAAAAATTTTTTTTTGCAAGTTTCGATCTCAAACTCAGAAGATGAGGCGCCCTTTTTTATTGTAACCCAGGTTTCCCCTCTGAATTCTTGAAACAAACGTGGCATTCATGCCGAGGGTTGCCTCCAGTTTATCCAAGGTAATTCCGCCATTTTCATCAACAGCCGCCTTCACAGCCGCCACTGTGGTGGCTGTGAATTTTGCAAAAAATTAAAAAAAAATTTCAAACCGAGCTGATTTTTTGTGTTTTCCCTGAAGAATAACCTTTTTTCAGTTCAATTGTACACAATTTCCATTGCTACTCCGAGAACTTTTGTTAGAACCCTCGCACATACGTTATAAACTACCGTATATGAAGCAGCAAATGAGCCACGGTGTGTGTGGTTAAAAAAAAAAAAATTTAATGCTCGACTCTGATGCACTTTTTTAAAGGAATGATCCATGGAGATTTCAACGAGCAGAATATACTGGTGACAGAATCGGAGCGAAATCCCGGGACATACGATGTTTCCGGGATTTTGGATTGGGGTGATGCACATCACTCGTTTTATGCTTTTGAGGTCGCTATTGCCATGACTTATGCGATGATCGAATCAAACGTGGTGGGCCCCATTGAAGCAGGTTAGTGTTGTCATATCTCACTTCAGTGCTTGGCTTTTTTATGATGGAAACATTTTGTTTTCATTACTGTAAATCTACGAAGTTAAAAAAAAAAACATGCCCGCTATTACTGTATTTTGTGATGATTTATGAATAGAAGCTGGAATATATTACGATGGTGAATTACAAAGATTGTAAGAGGATGATGTTCGATGACAGGTTGGATTTTTATGAGCCTGTGTATTTTAATCGATCAATACTCAACATAAATATGGCTGATGTTCAGAAAAGTGTTCTCACGAACCAATAAGAACTACTTGAAAGTTGGAATGAAAAGCAGATGCGTTCTCTCGCATTTTTTTCTTGAACTATATCCAGGTATAATAATTAATGATCATTTTACGAATGGAAATGTGGACCCCATATACAGCACTGACTGAAATTTCAATACTCCCGGTCTCCAGGGTAAAACCAAAGGTAAAATTATAGTTGTCTACTGGTTACTGATTGCATCATTTATTCATTTGCAGCATGAAATAGCAGGCAAGCATAAGTATACAGTATTCATTTGCAGCAGACGAGCATAAGGACAGTCGTCGTCGTCAAAGTCTTTCAGCCTAACTCATACTTATTCATTCCTCTCAATTTATTGTTGTTCACCTTCTGTTAATGTCAATTTATATAACTATTCTCGTATTCTGAAGCCGTTAGGATTGAGAATAAAATTTGATAATTTGTTCGTTGAATTTGATGTCCAGAAGATATTGCTATTTAAAATCGCAATATTTACTGATCCACGTATCCATCAGCGCTTGAGATTAAATTCCCTTTCATTCGTGCGTCACATATTGCTTAGAAGCTCTGAAATAACTTTTTTCGGAGGTGATTATGACGCAGCTTTAATCGAAATTCATGCTGGAAAATGGCTGGGATTTTTCCCTTTGCTTTGAATTTGTCATCCAAAAGTTGTCTGCAGGGTTAATTAAAATTTTCCAAGCCCTTCTATAGTTCTATGAGCAAATACATAAATTTTTACGAGGTTTCTGGAAAACCACCTGTTGTGAGGTTTATGATAAGATCATCAAACTCTTTTTCCACAACATGCTCGTTCTGCTGGTGGATATCATCGTGTGTGTAAAATTGTTGTTTTACAAAAATTATTATACAGTATACTTGTATACCGTACATATGTTGGCAAATTTTGACAAATGCCCTTTTTCCATCGGCCATCCCGCATTGGCGCTTAGATCAAATCAATCTGTACTCCGTACATGTTATAAGCAGCAAATTAATCTGGCCAAATCGATGCACAGCATGTGTATGAACATTTTCATCACCTTCTACGAGCAAGAATTTTATTTTGATCTTCGTGTGGTCATTTGAAAATCATCAACTGTATTATTCTGATAGTGGAAAATTTAGTACGTACTCGGAAGAAAAATAGTTTATTATTATTATTTATTTTTTTGCCTAGGTGGACATCTGCTGGCGGGTTATGTTTCATTGCGTAACTTGAGCGACGAGGAATTGAATCTATTACCCATCTCGGTTTGCGCCAGACTGGCACAAAGCTTGACATTCGGGACTTACACTCATTCGAAAGACCCTTCGAATAATTACGTTTTAACGACCTCGGCGAAAGGATGGTCCTTGTTGCAGCAATTAAGAAGTTCTGGTACTTCCGACCTGCTGGTACATTGGAAACGAGTCCTAGATGGATACGGTTTGAAGAGATGATGTAACGGCCGAGAGGTAATCATTTGGAAGTTAATGAATGCATTTTGTGCTAATCAGTCAACAAAATTAACTAATGCTTAATTGTACAATTACATGCACTTTGCTGTGCACTTCTACAATCTCGGAATTTTATTCTAGTAGTAAGAGACGATGAGGTAAATTTCGAGACTTAGCTTTTTTAAGGAGCGTCATCTAATGGATATCATTTTAACTGACTATTGCCGTCCTACTGAACGTGCCCGTTTGACTGCAATGGAGTTATTTCTCCATCTGAGATCGCAGTTCGTTGTTCATTCAGAAGGGTTATGATCTGTTGCCAAGCAGGTTGTGGATGGCGGATCTGATACTGAACGTTGGGAGCATAGGTCGGAAGAGGTCATACAACAATCGAGTTCCGTGAGCAATCAAGATGAAACGACGAAGGCAACTTTTGTTTAGTATAAGGGAACCTTCGTTTCGAGATTAACGGGAGAAGGACCTTCTGTGACCACTGTTTTAATTTAAGGCTACACGCTTATTGCCTGAAGTTATAATGGTTCCTCGAATTAATTCCAGTGGTTTCGCTTCAGCTATGAAGATAGTTGATTATTCCGTATATAATTGCTTCGAAATATTCTCTGAAGGAAAATTGTCCGTTGTGGGATCTGCTGTCGTTGACAGCGATTGAAATATACAGTTCAGTACCTTCCATAGTAAAGCATGGTGTCAAGATGTAAATGGGCTTCTTTGTTTTAGCAGTTTCAAAGTAAAATAAGGTTACGAACTGCATTTCGACGTGGAACAGAAATGTCTCATTCCGTCGGAAGGAATCCTGAGGAAAATTGACTTGCTGCGGTGCTGTGACGAGCACCTTTCTGAGATTTAAAAAGTGCATTTCGGACTTCGAATTAATGTGTCTAGTACGACGTGGTCAGGTTCATGGAAATGCCTGTGGAGAGGGAGTCCAGTATGGAAGAAGTCCCCGTAAGTGTTGTTTATTCGTAGTCTTCAAGTGCATTGGTAAAAATGGTTTTCTGTTCATTTTATAGCTTGAGCCCTTCATCCATCAAGTCGGAGGGCATTCTTCCATTCTTTCGCTCGATGAAAACACCGTATGCAAGCCTCTTGTGCGACGTGAAGTTGAGTTTTACAAGTCATTGCCTTCGAGCATGAAAGAATTCACCGCTGAATTCAAAGGTATCGTCGAAGTTTCTTCCATCGAGGACGAAAATGGTGCTATTACGCTGCTTGCTAAAGCCCCATCGAGGATTGTCAAGCATCGGAAATCATCTCGCAGTGGAATAAAAAACAGGTACGTTTTTCTCCTGAGTTCACATATTGAAGATCGAATTTAAATTTTTTGATTTCTTAGGTTGCGGATTTTGAGATCTGGAAGCGTTGAAATTGAGGCAAAGCAAAGCGATGTTAGATTTGAAGAGCGTGATCCTGGAAAAGGTACCATCAAGATGACATCAAGCTTGAATCCTTGGGTGGTTAAATGTCACAAGCAGCACTTGACCGAAGTTGCTGGGAAGGAATATGCGGAGTCCAAAGTTTCGCACAGTAAGTCCGAAAATACAGTATTCAAATGTATCGATTACTCTAGCGAGTTCTGGCTGTCCTGCAGAGTTCATTGTTCTTGAAAATTTGGCATCTAAAATTACTTACCCCTGCATATTGGATTTGAAAATGGGCGTCAGGAACTTTGGGGACGACGCCCCGCCATCCAAAATTCTGAGTCAAAAAGCGAAAGGAGCTGCCACTACGACAGGGAAACTCGGAGTTCGCATTTGCGGAATGCAGGTAAGGTGAAAGTTGTTGGATTCTGGCCAGCTTACATCATTCGCCTTATCTACGACCGACATGATTATGTTTCTTAAAATTTAATCAGCCCAGAAGTAATTCATGACTAGAGAAACTTATGCAACTCTTCGATTCTATAGAGCAAAAAAAATATATCGCTCTCAAGCAGTTTAGTGTGGTAGCGCTTTTTTATTTTCTCTTGAGATTTGCGTGATTCTTTTCATGATTCAGATCTTGTTTTGAAAAGCGCAGTGGATTTTAGTCGATTTTTCTTTTGTAAATCGTTAATCCTTCTAACTTTTCTGAATCAAGTTTTTTATTTCAATGCAAGGAGCGCCGTAATTCTGAACTGTTTTTCTGTCCACGTCTTTAAGTAGGATAATTGAATTTTTTGAATCAGTTCTTCAAATTTTATTCTATTTTATTAGGAAGTTGCAAGCGTTTGTGTGATCGACTATTCAAAATAATTTGCTTGACATTCTTTTGACGTATCGTATGAAATAAATATTTCAAATTTATACCAGCTATGGTGACGCTTTTGCAAAATAAACGACGTTGAATCTGCTTTACTGTGCAATAATTTGATTCGATAAATATTTAACCGATACAGTACTTGAGCGATTGCTGCCATGTACTGCACTGGTATGTATTCTTACGCCGATATAAATGTTTTTGGTAATCAATGTGCATAATTTTATTCTATCAAGTGTTTCTTTCTTCTGAGTTTTTCGTGCGTATCTCTGGCTCAACCCTTAAGATTATCCCGCTATTCTATTTCTAGGTTTATCAGTTAAATACGGGTGGTTTTCTGTGCTGGAACAAGTACCACGGGAGGGCACTGACAGTGGACGGGTTCCAGGATGCCCTGTGCCAGTTTCTTGACAACGGGAAAGTCTTCCGACTTGAATTGATACCGGGAATTTTATCTCGTCTGAAGCGCCTTCGAAAATCGCTGGAGAGCTTGGAAACGTTCAGGTTTTACTGCTCGTCATTATTGGTAATTTACGAGGGGGCTTTCTCTGGTCTGACTCGTGGTGTGCGTTCTGGGGCGTGGCGAGATGATGATGACGTTGAGGATGAGGATGAATCCGAGGAAGAGAAGCTGGAAGAAGCCGATGATGCTGATGAGGCCACTGGACCGGTTTATCCGAACGAGGAATGCCGCGTTCAAGTGAGTGACGACTGTGAATGCTTCAGCGAAAATCTTAGTTTTTTAGTTACTGTAGAATTGTGAAGGGAAGTTTTTCTATAGATTCATTACTACAGTGTATTCTTGCAAATTAAAACGAAATCCATCTCTGAAAAGATAAAATGTAAGTATTTTGGGTTTTTTTTAAACTCATTTTCTCGAAGTGTATGAGTTATAACTGTTATATTACATGTGGAAAACGCTGAAAACCTCACAAATAAATTTTCTCGTTCTCTTTTCATCAAAATCGAAGACGCCATAGATACTACAGTACGATGCAGTTTGGGTTAATATGAGAACGGTATTGAATAAAAAATCGCTTTAGTTCAAAATCCAGGAGTACAAGTTTTGTGTGTCCTTACAAAAGCTCTGTGTTCCCCGTGCGTACGATCCTGAATTCAGCTTTTTACGAAGCGAAGTCATTCAAGCAGCTTAAATATTCCCGAAGTTTGTGTTAATTCATCTACTGTAATTTGCTTTGCGCAGGTTCTCTGTGTTCATTGATTTCTGGGTAAAGTTGATCGATTGCCTACTATTCTTGGAGATTTAATCATGACCTTGGGTTAACTTAGCATCTTCGCCGATAAGCTTTACGTGAGTTCTCCTTATTCATGGATTCGCAGGTGAAACTGATCGATTTTGCGCACGCGACTTCCAAGGGCTTCGACGACGCGGAGCACAAGCATGTTGGTCCAGACCGCGGACTCATCTTTGGACTTGACAACCTCATATCCATTTTCCAAAAAATCGTGGACAAATACGGGTCTCAGGTGTGAGCCGGGAACGTTTGTTTTTCGTTTGTGAGCTTGCTTCAGCAGACACCTTAATCTTTAAGGGTGCGCCAGGCATCCGCAGCGAAAGATGGTCTCATTTATTACGAAATGCGGTGGTTGTTCGTGGAAAGCCTGTGATTCCACAGAGTTGTATACCCTGCAGGAGGTATTTTGTTTGGACAAGGTGCGCACGAAAGCTTGCCTCCCGTTCTCTATCCACTTGAACAAGTACAAGTAGATGTATGTCTCTGTCTTCACTACCTCAGATGGGGGAATCATGTTTGAACCAGCAATGGAATGGAGTGGAAAAATCCCCGTCCCTGCACACTTTCTTTGTCGTTTGGCACGTGACCAACCTCCGTAAAATGTTGCTTTCTTGAATTGTGTTCAAAATGTCCCGACTCTCTTCTCGCTTGTGAATTGAATTATGAAGAAGTTCGCTTACTTCACCGATTTTGGAATCGCATGAAGCTTTTTCCTTGCTTCTGCTAGTCGATTAGAGTAACAAGAACGTTGAGAGAAGAGTGTTCTTACGCTGCACGGGATTTGATGGCCTGGGTTGTAGCGAAGGAAGTGAGTCGGAAGAGAATTCTGCGCTGGGTTTCCTGCCCAGTCCGGGAGGTGTAAAAGATAAGGTAACCTTTACCCAGACCTTGTCAAACGTTCATAGCGAACGCATTCCACAAATTTGCGGTGAAAATTGACGTAAAAGTATTCTGACTCGGTGTCCTTCTGAAAGAAAGGAATGTTTTTTTAGCAAGTTTGTGTGTGTGGGGTTGCGTGTGACACTTGAACTCAGGAGCTGATGGCGACAACGGGGATGCTGAATTGCAGCGATTAAGTTGGGAATTTTTTCTTCTCTTTTGTCGAGATTCGTCGTGATATATTTAATGTGATTCTTGGTGATCTGAGTTGGCAAACCTTGAGTTCGGTGTTCCCTTTTCGGTCGGATGGAGGAAGCAATCGAAAGTTAGCAGCTTGTTCCACGAAGCAGTTTCAATGGGATGAGAACATTACCCCGAGCTTGCAACTGCCCGCGCTACGACAGAAGTGCAATCATCTTCGTTTTAACTGTGGTCTTTCCATGAAACTACTGGGTGATTCGCACGCTAGTGGACTCTAAAAACGAGAATTTTTCGGTGGTTATGAATATTATAAACTTCGTTTTAAAAGGAAGGTGGGACAATATGATGAAAGGAAATTTCTTAGTGTCATCATGGAAACCGAGTGTTCAATCTAGGAAAGAGAAGATAAGATGTGTTGCCCCTTTTAGGACTTCTTCTGGCTGATTTTGAGATCAAAAGAACATCATTGACATACTTACCATACGGATGATTGTCCATTATCTGTCCGATTGGTTGGGTGTGAGTGAATTTAACTGGTATTTTCCCTGAAGAAGTCAACTATTCCCTCTTCTTTCTCAGACGACAACGTTTTATTGGGATGATTTCAGGACGTTTTCCTCTTTTCACGCTGCCCCACCTTGCCGTTAAAAACATTTCATGATTTTATGTTCGTACTTCCTCCAGAATTCCATGCTTTTATGGGTCTAGTAGAGCATAAACCACCCTGTATTTATCGAATAACAATTTGAGTTCGTCGCTGGTTGGTTGTAATCTTGATAGTGCGGTTGTGGGGTTTTGTTGTTCCTTTTGTACGAATGCTGGAGCGTGTCTGATCAGGGGCTGGAATCGTTCGAATTTTCTGGTATCCGTGTGTGAACGAGGTCGGCACTAGTCGTGAACTGAACATCAACGCCATAGTAGGTTTCAGCAATGTCTCACGTAAAAGGGTTGCGCGAGCTTTTCAGTTTCATGAATGCATTTTTTGGTGGTGTACTCAAATTTCGAGAGTGCCTTAACTGTAGTGTCCATGAGATAAAAATTATTCAATCTCGGGATCCGCCTAGTTTCTTCTTTGTGTGTTTTCTTCATTCGTGGGGGGAAGAGGTGGAACACAAAAAATGGCCATTCCTCAAGATGCTTGTGAATGTGACGATATCTTGAGATGATTTTTTTTTATTTATGAGCACTGTCACTTTTACGCATGGGAGAAAGTCTCTCATGACGCGGAATGTTAACTAGTTTTTTTTAAGCTACATTTTAATGATATGCCTACTATTTCTTCCACAAATTTTGGAGATTGAAGGATATGCATAACTGTTCAGATACATTGAAATAAGGATGAGTGCATACACTGTTATCCTGTGCTACATGATAATTTCCAATGTTCAAAGTTGAAAAAATTTAAATGAGTTGGTACAGTATTCCCGCAAATGATGGAAGTACACTATCTAAAGCTGAATAGTCAGTGCTGAATCAATGGGCAGAAGGCTATGTAAGACTCAAAGAAACAATTAATTGTATGTTCTAGAAATAATTGTCATTATGGCACGTCAGCTGTTTATTATTCTCAATGAATAAATTGAGCGGAACTTTATTACATTGCTGTCAACGAACTGTTCATCAGCATTTTGGATGGCAGGTCCTGCAGGAGACATGCGGTGGTCTGGCACACCAGTATAAAAGCATTACCAAAGGATGCTGATGATTGCAATTGGCCTCAAGGTGAACATTATATTGAAGCAGATTTATGTGATGAACATGAGTCAACAATCGTGGAGGAAATATTGGTATGAAAAATCCAGGAATGAAGGGTATCACAAGATAATTCCCCTCCTGTGTTGTACAATCTCCTTTCAATGAAGACATATTGGCACTACTGAACTAGTTTCCTCGTAGAATTGCCACTGTAAAAAACTTAGTAACACTGTCGGTACTAGGCACGGATCTGAAAATGACACTGCTGTTAGTACAGTAATTATTTTATACTGTATAAATATAACTTCATGACAAATTTGTTCGAAAGACAATGTACGGTGATTATACCAGTGGCAGGGACTAAGATTGATCTGCTGCTGTGCAGTAGCATCACTCTCAGGAAGAAAAAGTGGTCTGTCTTAATCATTGGAAGCGATTACTGTACTGTGCTTCACTTCTAAATGCGTTAATGTATGCAGTATCAGTAATATCGTTCTCTGTCATCACAAGTTCAGGCAAAACCTATCACTTTTTGAATGATTTTTAACAACAATTTTGGGGATTTCAGACCGAGAATAACTGCTAAACGAAGATGGTGCTTTATACCTAAAAATAATGTAGAATCTCTGTATGGCACATGACATTTCAAGCATTATATATGGTGACATGTTGAAACTGGCACATGAAGTCAATAAAGGTGCTATACATTCTCCGAGGAGCTTTCACCAGCAGTTCAGGCTGAGGGTAAAAACGAAGGCATCTTTTTCTGCTGAGAATGCCATCATGAAAATAGAGTGCAATACAGTACTTTACTGTATGGTTGGTACTACAGTATGTATAGTACCTGTTTATTCACCGGAACACAGTACAGTACGGAGTTCTGCTCTTCGTATATTGTACCATGACACAGTCGTGATGTACGTTGATTTGATCGCTGGAGCCATGTTCTACTCTCCCACTTGATTGTATACAGCCCCAACTTTCGGTTCAAGGCGAGTCACTGATGAGAGTTGTGTCTGCAATTGACCGTTTCAGTCGCGAAGTTGGCGAAACTGGGAAGGGTTCGGCGTGAAAGTTGATATCTACACCATCTCATGATTATTGCTCCTTGTGAAAAGTTCATTCCACCCGTGAAATGACCTAATTTTCGGCTTCCAATTCCAGGAGTATTTGTGCGGTAACCAGATGGAAGCTGAGATAGATTTCCGGAAATTGACGGAAACTTCAAGTGAAGATCATCATGAGGAGTTGCAAGCTTTGCGTCCGATGGCGTGTGCATTTGGTGCGGTTGTGAACGTGTGTGGATCGGTTACTTTCTCTCAGGGAGAAACCGTTGTGATGTGCAGTGTTACTGGTCCAAGCCAGGCTCCGGGATGGATGAAAGCAAGCGGCGGGGGTGTCGTTCAAATCGCATTTCGACCATCTTTTCGCAGACCGGATAAGATCACATCTAGACTAGAGTCCTTCCTGAAAAGTATATTCACGAAGTGCATCCCTGTGGAGAGATACCCTTGGAGTACGTTTCGCATTGGAATTCAAGAGGTGCAGAGCGGGGGTAGTTGTTTTTCTTCTGCATTTAATGGTACCATCTTAGCCATGCTTCAAGGAGGCATTCCGCTGAAAGCCGTCTTCGCGGCAGTTCAAGTATCTTTTAAGGATGATGATGTTGTTATTGTTGATCCATCCGAGAAGCAAGAATGGGACTGCTTAGGGCATGTGTATCTGGTTTACAATACGAAAACGATGTCGCTTATTGCAAGTCAGACGAGAGGCCTTGTGAATCAAAGGTCATTTCAACTAGCACACTCACTTGGATTAACTGCAGCTCGTCGTATTGATGCCTTCATTCGTGCATGTATTGCGAAGACGCTGAAAAGCCAACTCGGATGGAAATGAATATTTTGTATGCGCGTTTTTTTTTTTAATTTGCAGTCGTCTTCTAAAAAATTTGTGGTTCCGTCAAGGTAAATGAAAGGGATGTATCTTGAGAATTTTATTTTATTTTCAGGATGAGTGTTACATCAAAGGAGTCATGTACTCTGAAGGACACCCCTCCGGAAGTCAAAACTGAGGTTCGTAACCTGATATTTTGAAAATTACGAACAGAAAATTTTCTTAGGACTCATTTTCTACAGGTTCAAGAATGCGAGTATGAATTTTCTATTGTTGATGAAAATCCTAATGAAACGGGACAGGGCGTTGAGTACGAATTTGAGGTGGTAGAAGAGCCGGATGTGAAAGTGCATAGCTCAGAGCTGTACTCTTACGATGCAGTCGAAGCACGAACCAGCGTCTCAGAAAAGAACGAAGTTGTTTATTATATTATCGAAGAAGGAACAGAGGATATGGACGTTGGAGAAGACGATCATGTGGTGAGAAAATTTGAATTCTTGACGACTTTTTGATCAGTTGGAGTTCGGAAGAGGTTGTAGGAATTCAATAATCAAAATAATTTGACGACCGCTGTTATTGATTTTCTGGGTCAATTGGCCCTCTCCAGCACAACAACTATGAATCATAATTGTTTCCGAAGTTGAAACGACTCGTCAAGCATTAACGGGTTGCTGTTGTGAGAAATGCTCTGCTGCGTTGCGTACTATGAAAGAAATCCGTCACGTTATCTCAAGGATCTTCTGTAAAATTTAAATTATTACCGGAGCTATTTTAATTTACGCGCGAATGGGCAAACAACGTGAGGGTTTTTGAGTTTTATTGAAGTCTAGTAGGTGTACCGGAATTTTTGGGATTCATGAGGACGAATCTAATTGTAATTGTAATTGATTTACTATTGATCTGAGAGACAACCTAGACATGAATTTATTTTCTTAGAAGTTCCAATGTTTTTGTTTTTAATTTTTTCATTCGTTGACATTTTTTCATTTAGCAAAATTCCAGTAAATTTCTTCCATATTTAATGTGCCACATGATTGGTTTGTTTCCTCAAGAGTATTGTACTGTCCAGTATCCCTAACTTCTTGTTTTTGCGTGTCCAGCTATGTTCTGTTCGGACCGGCATAATTGAAGTCGTGGGTTGTTCCAGGTATTTTTGGAAGTCGAGCAAAAAGTTAACCCGCTGTCATATGATGGGGAAGAAAACGTGCCGGTGGTGAAAATCTTGAAAGCGGAAAGCGTAGAGGAGAGTCAGCCGAAGAGGAGTAAGCCGGAAAGCGGTTTCACGGAAAACAAGCATCTTCGATTTTTCTGCGAAGACTGCCAAGCAGGATTTCATTCCGATGTGATGCGGATGCGGCATTATGATACTGCCCACTACATTAGCGACGGATACCGATGCCGTCATTGCGGACGTTATTTCGATTCCTACACGTCAGCCGGTCACCACGAAGCCTTGCACGAGGAAGTGTTGCGTCAGAGGGTGTCTTGTATCATATGCCATCGTGAAGTCCGAGCATCGTCAATTCGCAGCCATCTGAAGAGGGTTCATCACGACGATTTCGATCTTGGCCGAGCTACTCGCGCCGCATTTCAGTGTAAGTTGTGCGAATTTAAATCGTGGTATGAGATCAGCTGCCATTTGCACGTCATGTTGATACACGGGGAAGTGGACAGTGACCCTTTTGTGGTTCGAGACGTCATGGTTTGTCCTACGTGCGGGAAGCGCTTCATGCAGCGTCGCGAATACTCTCTGCACGTTATTCGTCACGAGGACCCATTTTACGAAACTGAGGAGTGCCACGTTTGCAACGAGCGAGTGAAGAAACGATACATGGGTTATCATATGAGACGCCATCGCCCGCCGAAGGCCCCTAGGAGAGTCTTTGAGTGTTCTTTGTGCGGTGCCCGATTTCGGGCCAAGTATATATTTGAAAATCACATGTCCGAACGTCATGAAGCTCCGGGATTCAGGAGACGCAATATTGAAAAGATGCCGTGTCCCGAATGTAACAAGTCCTTTGTTGACTCGGAGCAGCTTTGCCATCACGCTTTGAAGATTCACGGGCTTCAGCTGGATGGATTACGAACGTACGCTTGTGAGGTGTGCGACAAGGTTTACCATTCTAGGACGGCATTCCACGCACACAAACGATCTCACGTTAATCCAAAAATTCGAAGTCGTTTTTCCGCCAACAGAACGCGGGATTTACTATTTGACGAAGAGCCTAAACATTTTAAAATCGTTTGAAGTCCACACCGATATTTCCACTGCTCCTGAAGTTTTTTTTTATTTATATTCCTTAGAAATGTTTCTGGCCATGTGCTCCTCACGATTCAGTTTCATTGTGAAATGTATAAACCATTATTTTCCCGGAAACGAAACTGTTCTTTCGTTCAATTGGCATTTTTGTCTATTTCTTCTCGAACACCGTATCTACCTTTCTGAAATGTCTGTGGGCATGTGTTCCCTTGATCTTTGACCGATTGCAGTAGAACTCTGAATATCGATTAATTTTTGGATACGTTTGATGAAAAGGTTTGAACTACATTCGACTAAAGAAAAAAATCAACATCAACCATGCTTATTGATAATAATCCTGTGAACCTCGAAGTACATTAGTCTTTTTAATTAATGCAAGGTGCGTGAAGAAGCGCGAAATGAAATCATGAGGTTTGCGTGCTGCCTTGTTTCCTGTGAGAAAGTTTTTGTGCATTCATCAAATCCACGCTTATTATCGCATGCAGGATAATCGGAGTTCTCCTGTCCAACCAACTGGCGTCAGTCTTGACCTAAGTTAATTGAGATACTTTTATTTAGATTCAACGCCCTGGAAGTGCATAAGCATAATCGGTGCAGAAAGTGTCGGTGTTCAAGAAAAAATAATCGTTGTGTTTTGTTCTGTCATGAAACTTTTTGATTCGAAAGCAGGATTTCCGTGGAGATGCCTTGCGACTTATGCCGCCATGAAACGGAAGTAAACCGCAGTTGGGAGGAAGTGCTTTTGAAGCATTTTCAAGGAGATGTTCAGGAATTTTTAGACGACAATGGCTTGGGAAACGACTGCGATTTCTCCACAGGCGTCTGTAAAGAGTGTCTGGAGTTGATCGTACGTTTGGATCGTATTAATGGCGAGCATGCGGAGACGTTGCTGCGCATTCGACAGAGGCAGAGTAATACAACACCAAGTTTTTCCGCCGAGAAGGTACTCTTCCAAAATTAGAAAAATTTTGAATTGCTACGGGTGGACTTCTTTCGAAGATTTCCTCAGCAGCTAAATTTCTTCAGTTCCGAGAAATTTATCAGAAGTGGGTTTCAGCTGCAAATCTTCTGTCCTCAGCAACATTTGTCAATTTCCTGTAATTTTATGTATAGGCAGCTCCTCTACGACAATATTCTATGTACAGTATCATGCAATATTTTAGGATCCTCGATATTTTTTGAGATAGAATCTTTCCCTTTTTAATTTACTTTATACAGTAAACTTTTTGTTCATGATTTTTCTTCAAGCTGAATCAGGCCTTCGCTGACGATTCTCCAGAAAATGACGGTTTACCCGAATTCGAAGATCCCGAGTTGGAAGATCTGCTTGTTCATTTGTGTGACAAAGCTGAGGAATCGTATATTTCGCCGCAAAAAACTGTTCTTGCTCATAAATCTGAGTCGAATGAAATTTTGGAGTCTGGGGAAGACTGCGAGCCTCCCACTGATGACCATCTCCGAGTTCTAAAGTCGACTTTTGGACACCATCAATTTCGTCCGTATCAATGGAAGATTATTCACAACGTGTTGGTCGCGAAACGTGATCAATGCATCATCATGGCCACTGGCTACGGAAAAAGTTTATGCTACCAATTTCCGGCTGTTTATTCCGAAGGGCTTACGGTTGTCATCTCGCCATTGATCTCTCTCATGGAAGACCAGGTATTTATTCAGTAAATCACTATTCAAAAACCTTTGATGGATTCCGAGTGTCGTTCTACTTTTTTGTGTACTGTATTTTCATAAATTAAAAGTCCGTAAAAAATAATTTGTGGGCCTTTCGTCACTCTTTTCTTGCCGAACTGCAATCGGAGAGGATGTGAAGAAATCACAAGACGCCTTTTTTAAGGCCCGCATTCAGCTGAATAATCCTGGCTCAAAACTCTAGGTGCCCAAAGTATTTGATAATTTTTTTTTAACCATCGATTCCTTACTTTTTTGTGAGAAAACCTGACGTTTTGTAACTTTTTACACAAGAGCGGCTGAAATGGAATTTATTCACGGAGAAAGGCGAATAAAAACAATGACGAATTGTTCTATGAATTAAATTTATTTCTTGGCCTGTGTATACAGTATATTGAGTAATTTTTCCCTAGAAATTGAAACGATCAAGGTGGAAATTGAGATCAATACTGTATTATGATTTTACCCCCGAAAATTCGCATGCCCTTAACAGTTGTGATTCTATCATCTCAGGTAATGGCGTTGACTCAAGCAGGAATTTCGGCATCATTCCTGGGCTCTGCGCAAAACGACAAGAGTGTAGCAAAGCAGGTTTCCTCTGGAACGATGAGAATGCTCTACCTCACCCCTGAATTCATTTCCGTTGATCTTGAATACGTTTTTCAAATATTCAAGAATGTGCCTTGCGGGATCACCCTTTTCGCCATTGATGAAGCTCACTGCGTTAGCCAGTGGGGTCATGATTTCCGTCCTTCGTACCGAGCCTTAGGAGCACTGAAAAAAAAATTTCCCGAAGTACCGATACTCGCGGTGACTGCCACTGCAACCGCAGCTGTGGAAAACGATATTTGTTCGTCTTTGAATTTAGTGAACCCGTTGCGGCTGTGTACGGGATTCGACAGACCGAATTTATTCTTATCCGTGAAGCACAAGAGCACGGATGTGTTCCGAGATCTGGCGCCCGTGCTTTTTCCGGGCGTGGCTTTTTCGTCCATACGAACGATCGGTTTGAATCCGACGGAGTTGAAGTGCGGGGCGACCATCATCTATTGTCCAACTAGGAAGAGCGTGGAGTCCGTGGCGGATGCGTTGAGGGCCAGGGGGATTCCTTGCGTGATGTATCACGCCGGGAAATCTTTGGATGAAAGGAAACGAGCCCATCAGGCATTCATCAAGGACGAGGTTTGTTCTATTTCAAAATTTCAGTATGGGTTCAACATAGCCAATACTCTGGGTAAAGTATTGCCCACATAGCTTTCCCTGGATAGAGAGCAAGTAGTTGGTGATGAACCAAATGGAGAATCTTACATCATTTGACCGGATGCACATCCCCATCACAGTCACATTCTTTCATCATTCTGGATGCTCTCCAATGCGATTTTTTTGGGACCCCGTCAAAATTGAAAAGCCACAAATCCAACTTCGCCGTTCAAAGCGTCATCCAATTACAAACAGATAAAATTTTCAAAATAAGGACAGGATTCTTTTTCACGAAAATCTTGTCCTGTCAGTCATCAACGCTGAAGAAGGTGTCTACTGCAAAAAGGTTAATGAATTCAAGAGCATTTTAAAGCCTACATTTATACTGTACTGGACTCGATTTTAGCCGGAAAATTTTCCTGCCTTCGTCTTATATTTCATTTATTGTATTCGTGCAACCAGTGCATTACTGCCGTGGGCAAGGGACACAAAATAACGTAACGAACACACAATTTTTGTGGAGTTCAGAGCCGAAAATGTTTGTCCCGAAAATATTCAGGATGAATGAAAGTATTGGCGGGGTATGAATGCTGGCCGGAATGAATTACAAGAAAATTAATTCGCTTTTTCTTACCGTGGGTGGAGCTTAATCCGTTTTTGTTTTTAAAACAATGCTTGGGATAGAACACGGTGACTCGGGCGGTTCACCAAATTTTCATACATTTTCTGTTCTCCCTTTCTGTTGAATTTACTGTACGGTATAGGATTAATCCAATGAAAAACCATAAAGGGCTGACAAGTTTGTTCGATCTTCACACCTCTTCGAAATTTACACATATGAGATTTACATTAGCAAGAATATCCGTCAATAACTTCCAATTAATAGAATACATGGAACCAAATCTAATTCTAAACGAAATCATGAGACGTCTAGGTAAATACAAAAAACATCTTTGAGACTTGGACGTTCACTGGTTGAAACAAATCAGTCTTCTTTTATACTACTGCACAGTGCTGTCTATGCTAGAATTTCTCCGCAAATTTTAATTTCCGAATCACTGTTTCTCGAGCATGGTAGTTTTCTAAATTATTGTACTGAAAATATAGAAAAATAATTACTGGGTTGCAGAATACTGCTCAATATAATCATTCTTTAAAAAGATGAATTTTTCAAAAATTTCATCGATATGATTTTTATTTCAGGTCTCAATTATCGTGGCGACAATCGCGTTCGGAATGGGAATCGATAAACCTGACGTGAGAAACGTGGTTCATTACGGTGCTCCGCGGGAAATGGAATCCTACTATCAAGAAATTGGACGAGCAGGTCGTGACGGCTTGGCATCCACGTGTCATGTGTATTATGAGCCCAAAGACTTCCACGTGCATCGTTTCTTCCTGTCCACTATTCAAAATGAGAAGCACAGGGAAAATCGGTGAGTTGAACTAATGGTTTCTATAACCTGATGAAAAACGTAATCTGGTAAATTGCTCATCACGATTGACCGATATAACTCAATTATTCCGTCTTTCAGTGCAAAGTTGATCGACGCAATGGAAAGCTTTTTATTCTCCGACGCTTGTCGTCGTCAAGCGATTCTCGGCCACTTTGCACGTGCCTCTAATCGCTCGGTCGGCGAATCGGCTCTCTTTGGAACCAAAGACTGTTGTGATTTTTGCCGTCGCGGAGGAGACAAGAGCAACCGTGTGGAGTCCATGGACTTTGCTCGTGACACATTGCTTTTTTTGGACTCCGTTACGGCCTGTGGGGAAAAAAACGGGCTGGGAATGATTGTGAATGTGCTTCGCGGCTCGAATGCGAAAAATGTTCGGCCATCTTTAAAGCACAGCTCTTGTTTTGGGAAAGGGAAACATCACTCGGAAGCGTACTGGAAGGCGTTCGGACGGATATTGTTGCACGACAACTATGTCGAGGCGAAAAATATTTCTACTTCTTTTGGGAATAAGCCGAAGTTTAACCTCATGCAGGTGAGTCAGTTCTTAATTTTTATTCATTTTGCAGCGGTGATTGTACGTTCAATGTTCTGGTCCTGTTTTATGCAAAAGCGTGGCCGGAAACAACCGAAAATATTTTTGTGCTTCAATAAATGAAATTACTCGCGCATCTTGCAATTATTTTACGCCATAATCAAGAAATGTAATTTTTGGAAGTTTTTGTAAATTGTCTCCTAAGTAGATTTCCGAAGATAAAAAATGCGGTTGCATTACTCTACTTGGAGAAAATACACTTCAAAAGGTGCGAGGATCCTAAAGTTTTTTGTACTGTATATATATTTTTTTATTTTAGCTCTTCTTGAAACATTTATGAAAGATGCCATAATTTTATAAATATGCCATGAATAATTAAAAAATAATAATTACTGTGTTTATATACCGGCATATTGAAACTACAGTATAAGTATGAGTACGGTTTTCCGTGGATTCAATGTGTCTTGATTGAAAAAGATTTGAATTCCAAGTTCAAAAGTAATATTTTCAAGTTTTAAGAAGTGAACATCGTAAAATATGAATGTGTGCTTCAATTCTATTGTGAAGAGAGCTGAAAAATGAAGTACTGTTTGTTGAAAACAGTCACAGAAGAAGAAACAGCGAAAACATACATGAAGTTTGCGGATAAGTCATGCATTTTTTTCAAATTCCCGTGGAATTCCGTTCATTTTTCGCCTAACTTGGATTAATTGTCGACATTTTACAACAGACGCAGATGTTATTGATTGTTACTAAATATTTTATTACAGTATAACGTATAATTATTTTATTGTTACGATTATTGCAGATTATTCAGCTGACTGATAAAGGAAGGAATTATCGGGCATCCTGCATCGGATACAACGAGAACTCTCTTCCTCCTCTCCTACTTGCTCCATCCCAAGAACTACTTTCGTTGACGATGAAGCCTATTTTCACGGACAATGAAATCCCTGACAGTCAAACCAAGCTCACTTTCCACGTCTCTTCTACGTCTTCGAATAAACCAGAGGAGCCCAAAAAAGACAAGCGCGAGTTGGAACTAGAACACATGTTGTATCTAGAGCTGTTGGACGTGCGTCGGGACGTGGCATCCAAACATTCCTGTATCCCATCCATTGTAGTATCCAACAAGGCACTTGCAAATGCCTCCATGCAAAGACCCTCGAGTTTCGAAAATCTCAGACGAGTCGATGGTTGGACTGATCGTCAACTGTCTCACTTTGGAAAAGAGTTTGCGGAAAAGGTGGCCGAATTCTGCAAGTTTTATTCTTTGCAAACCGATTGCTTCGGGGATGAAGATGACGTTGGAGCTGAGACAGAGCAAGAAAATCTCGGGACTGTACTTCGTCATTGGAATTATTTCGCTGTGCCTGGTTCGGAAAAGTGGCGAAAGCAGAGAGAATTTTTGGACGGGAAGCGAGAGGATTTGCAGGCTGAAGCGAGAAGCATTCTGGCGGCGACTGTCGGAGAAACGTATTGCTTGTATAATTTTTCGTCCGCCCCAAAGACATTTGAAGAAGTGGCGGCTTTGCGGCAACGGGCCACGTCTACAATATCCTCGCATCTGGCCGATGCTATTCGTCAGGGCTTTCGAATGATGTTTTTTCCTGTCGACTTCGACTGTGCGAAACTGAAGGTACGCTTGTTTGTTTGTCCTGTTGCATAGCGTATTAACCCTTTTTCATTTTTGAGGATTACAAAAATATACGAAGATGTGCTCGAATTCCTACAGGTCGTAGCCGGCATTGTATCCGCCGCGAAGCGTGAAGAAAAAATACTTTCTGATTCAGAAGTAAAAGCGAGGCTTCCGGATTCTTACACTTGGGGTGACGTTAAACTCGGTCTCGCCATTTATTCTGTGTGCGGGGACGACATTTTCACCGATTCTCAGTCCCAAAGGGAAGAGGACATAGAAGATTATGATGATGATTCTCTCGAATGGCGCTTGTCACCGGTGGAGAATTCGTCCATTTTCAGTCAAGAGGAACCAGCTCGTCACGGGGATGGAATTTCAGTCGAGGAAGCCATTGGCATCGTGACGGGCTATCAACCTCCGCCGCTCGCGCTAGGCTTGGATTTGGAGCCTCAGTTCAAAAGGAAACTCGTTTCGTCTGCTGCACACCCGAGGAACACAAAAGCGAAGAAAAGCTTTTTTGATGGACTATGAAAAACTCAGTGAAAACTTCCGGATTTTTTTTGTATGTCGTCGGTGGAAATCTCGGCATCGCCTTCGTTTTCACTTGATTCCAACGGAAGACGTTTACTCGGACGGCCTCTACCTTTTTTTTTGGATCATAAAATGAAAGCTCGTGGAATCTTGAAAGGAACATTTTCAGAAATCGTATAAGAAAGGAAGCTTTTACTGATTTTGCTACCTCGTCGAAGACGGTGAGTTGAACCATCGCGTTGAATATAATGTTTTGAGAATTTCGTTAACTGTGTCAAAATTTTAGCCACAATGCAGTGTCCTTCGCAGCTGGAACCCATGTGGAAGTGCATGTAAGCGGGTATACGTTAATCAATTTTCATTTTAACATTAGTCTGGGTCATTTTGAGTTCTTTCTGTTCGTACATGAGCGAGCATGTGAAGGCTAATTTGATTATGGACGGAATTACTGTATACAAAATAATAAGGATAGGATTTATTTTTATATTTTTTACGTTTTCCTTCGTTGAGCTTTTCTTTTTCGAAACGTTCTCAAAATGTATTCACCACTAACTGATGCACCTCTGCATGTGTTACACTCCAGATTCATGACGCAAGAAAATGCTGACTTTTCATCGCACAGTAAACTTTTTCGATACCCTGTACAATAACGTGGATATTCATCAAACAATGTTTTTCTTCAGCGATCAAACTTTTTTTTTCCAAAATCCCAATTTTTTTTTTCGACGAAACTTACGCGCGTTAATCATGGTCGCGTTGAATTTGATTTGATTTTAGAAAGGATCGAAGCCTGTGCGTGCCATTAAAATTTTTACAATGCTCAATTCGAAGAACGGGTGTAGCACTTCTTTTTATGAAATGCTGTGTTCTCAAGGCTGGAGCCGAAGTCGGGAAAAGCTTTTATCTTAATCCAGTAGCCGTTGGTTACGATACTTCGCATTTAACCTGCTATGGGTTCTTGTTTTGACTGGCTGTGTCTCTCCTCAAGGTAATTTTTTTCCTCGACTGAATGGGATTCTTATGTAAATTTTCTTTCACGTTGACTGAGTGGGATTCTTATGTAAGTTTTCTAAACCATTTTTTTCCACGTTGACTGAATGAGTTTCTTATGTAAGTTTTCTCAACCATTTTTGACAATGAAGTTTATTTTCATTTGAAACACTTGGTTTGTGCGCGTCGATGTACAAATTTCAGGTGGGACAGGTTGAACCGACTTTTAAGGAACCTCTTGTAAATTTCTATGAAAGCATTGGTAGATGCCATTGTGAGGTGGATAAACTGGTAGGTCTTGCACCGATGACGAGAGGTAATCACGAAAGAATATCCTTGAATTTTTCCTTTTGTGATGGATTAGAGGAATTATTCACATGATGATGTGAAAGTATATATCGAAAGCCTCAAAGAACCTTGTGGCTGTAGTGGATAGGCCTCACAAATTAAAATTCTGAACAACAATTTTTTATGCGAAGATTTTTGAACGAGATGTTACTGCATATGGAACAGCCATTCCATTTTTGATCTCTTTGAAATTGAATGGATTCTTGATTACATTTTTGTAAGAATAACGTTCTGTGAAAATGTTTTGTAAATTGATACATAAGTGTCTATGATTAAAGAAAATCAACTTCAAACTCCTTAGCTGTGTACATAGTCAACCATTGGTGGTTGATGGATGATCAATACCAAAGTGGTAAAATCCACAAATTATTCAGTTGAATCTTTCAAAGTTAAATTGAAACGAACCCAAAATAATTCAACTTGGGTATTCTTTGAGTTTGGCAATACGACCTGATTTGTTTACTGTACATTGATGTTGGAAAAGTATTCTTTGAGTTGATTAATGAAAGCTGTTCATTATTTGTAGACGTCACTATCTGCACGAAGTTGTTGAATCCTCTGGGAAATGCACCAAGATAATGATTTACATATTTTCTGTAACATGTGTTTCAAATTTTGCCCCAGATGCACACTAAGGTCCAGGAAATTTCCACCAAGGTGGGTTATATCCAAAAAGCTTTGCATTTGGGAGGTTTAAAATGCTCTACTGTACTATATTCTTGATTCTTGGGGATTGGATATGCTAAAGGGAATTACAGTCAAATCCTGTTGGGACCATTACTGCACTGAGATTGGTTCATTCTTCAAGAATCAATCCAATTCTGGACATTTTTCCTGCCCAATTAAATTCCAATTTCTTGATTCCATTTGCTGTTGTGATTGTGTAGCAGTAGACAAATTTCCGCATGTCCCACTGAGTGACTATTCCTGCTTCTCCCTTCTCTCAATTTGTGGTCCAGTCAAAGTCTCTTTCATTTTTTCATGGCGGGAATGGGATTTTTCATTGATAGTGATTTAGGATTTATCAGTGTCGGGGTTTCTTGGGGGATAAAGTGACTGGGACTCACCGCGATAATCGTTGGGATGCCTCCCTGATAAGCCACCACCCTCGACAGCCGCCATTAAAAAAAAATCTTCCCTGCTGATTATAGCATTGGAAACCCCATCCAAACGCCATCCGACAAAGTTTATTTCAACTGAAATATGCTCCAACAAATTAATTTTGTCTTCAATAGCCTGCCAATAAAATTCAAGTTTCTTTTAAGAGGTCTCCGATTTGAAAAATCACAAGCAGAAAGTGGATATACTTTTCGTTTTGGAAACATTAGCTAGATATAATTTACACGTCCCAGGAATATTTCAAGTTTATTCGAGAAGAATGATTTTATTTCATATTATAAATGATTTTCATATTATTTTAGTTTTTTTGAATTTTGATAAACCACCAACCCGTCTTTTAAACCGTCAACCCCTCGTAAAACTGCCACAAACCTCACAGTCAAATGGCGGCGACTTATCCAGGTTTCACTGTGTACCGTACTGTACTTGGAAATTTGAAGTAGGGAGGTCCAACTGTAATGCATAGGTTGAAAAGCCCTGGACTATAGGATGCAGTCCCGCCGGAACTCCGCCACGTCACCATTGCGCCTGGGCGCCTATGTCGACATAGACACTATGATCCAAAAGGCTCTTAACCGAGAATTGCTGCCTGTTCGCGACCTGCGAAGCCTGTGTGAGAAGGCCCGAGAAGTGTTCATCGACGAAGGCAATGTGCGCTCTGTGGAGCCTCCGGTCACCGTGTGTGGCGACATCCATGGGCAGTTTGACGATCTCCTTCATTTGTTCGAAGTCGGCGGGATGCCACCGGACACCAGATACGTTTTCTTGGGGGACACTGTGGACCGGGGGCACCACAGCGTGGAGACCTTGACCCTTCTACTGGCTCTGAAGGTTCGTTCGTTTCGATTTTTTTTTTTTGGGAATGATGAAAATTACAGAGACTTTGTCGAGTTTCTTGTTGACTCATCTTATTGTAAGTACAGTACAGTACAGTATTCTATTGTTGCACTCGCCAAAATACCGAACCAGGGTTTTTCAGTCAAAATTTTTTCATGAAATTCTATCCGCGAATAAGAAGCGCACCCCATTTATGCGACTCTAAGACTGAAAAGCTTTCGAAAATAACAACACCCAAGTTTGGATTTACACATGATTGGGTCCTGAATTCCACTAATTTTCAATTATTTCCATTCCTTTCAGTTTTCCTATCGAAATTGGTCCAAATTTTTCACTGGAATAAAATATATTGCCCACCCTAAACTTCTAAAACTTTTAGGAATGTATATACCCGTGTATGAAGCTCACTTTTTTTTCCCCCTCTCAATTTTGAGAACAAGGTGCGTCTGGTACTCGAATAAATACGTGAACACTTCAGGAAAGAAATGGAAAAGCATGCATGTTTATTAAAGTTAAAGATCAGGAATAAATAAAAAAGTAAATCCGAAAATTGCAAATTTGAATACAGTACTGCCTTTTTTCTTATGGAGATTTCGGATGTCCCATTATGCCAAATTGCTCACATAGCCAAATCTCTTCAAGTTTTGAACTCAGAGCAAGGTACCCAGAACAAATTTGACTTGGTTAGCTTTTGGGTTACATAAATCAGCATTTTGGCTGGCAAAAACTTGAGAATTACAAAAAGCTAAACTTAATTATCTTCTGGCGCTTCAACTATTGGATAAATGAGTTGACAAGACACTAAACATGGATGTTGGGAATAAATCCCGACAAGGTAAGATTAGAATTTAGGATTAAGAGTTTGTAAAGTGAAGATTTAAATAAAACACAAGAATTCGGTCGGGCTACGACCGGGGTGCAAAACACCCTATTTTAAAGTTGGTATATATCAAAACACACACAAAGATCTCGCGAAAATCTCGAAGAACGTTCGCTCTCGACTAACGGGACGAATAGTTCGGTTCGGGAAAACAAAGGGTGGTCGCGTCTGCCTGGGGATTAGCTTTCGTTACTTTTACCTTTGCATCATGGTATAAAAGAAGACGCAATTTTCGTGAGGGAGAGTACAGCAAAGTTTAGTGGGGTCCTGAGAGGATCAAAATTTCCGACGTTAAACAGTTTCGCGAAAAACAGAGTCGTAAAAAGTGTTTAGCAATTCCGGCGCAGCTGCAGACGGTTGATTGGACTCCGACGAGAGAAATATGTCGAAGTCTGATTCAACTTCTCGTGCTGTGTAGGGATGCGTCGTTTTCCTAAAGTTCGTCGTGGATTGGGTAATTTCCGGTGCTTTGAAGATGGCAAGTGGGGTTTGACGTGCTAAATTGTCGTCATGCCTTGCTTGGTATCCTCCAAAGAGTCGGGGGTCTGTCGGTCGTAAATCAGGTAATTCCGGTGCAGCTGTTGGGGCGTGACGAGGTGTGACGAGTTAAGGAGTCATCCCTCGCCTTGCTTCTTCCTGNGCTGTTGGGGCGTGACGAGGTGTGACGAGTTAAGGAGTCATCCCTCGCCTTGCTTCTTCCTGCCGTACCGGGGTTCGACGGGTATATCAGTTCGAAATTTGCTGGTGTTAGTCAGATGTGACTCCATCTTCGTGCGATTCGGTTGTCGTGCGTGCATCTGACTTGAAAAGTGAATTAGTATTAAAAAAGTGATTTCGAGATTCTTTTCTTGATTAGTTTCGAAGTTTGGTAATGAAAGTTTTTTAGAGCTGGCCAGGCTCGAATACTTAGAGTTCCATTTGTTGAGCGCTTTCGATCAATTGATTCTTGCGAGTTTGAAGATCCGGAAGTCGTAGGTTTGTGCACATTCTAGGTTGGTCCCACAACTTGGGCATCTCATAGTTTCGAGTTTTTACGCACTTGATTGGTCCCACAACTTGGGCATCTCATAGTTTCGAGTTTGCGCATACACTTGATTGGTCCCACAACTTGGGCATCTCATAGTTTCGAGTTTGTAAACACTTGATTGGTCCCACAACTTGGGCATCTCGTAGTTTTGAATTCAGTCCTATTTGGACAAAACATGAGCATTTGAATAAATTAGTGAGCTTGGCCATGCAGAGTTGAATTCATGGATTTCTTTTGATTGAGATCGTTTATTTCGGTTGTTTTGTGTTCTAACTCGAATAGGTTTTCGTCAAACGAGAGCGAATCAAGTTTTTTGAGCGAAGTTTTTGAGAAAGTGATCCATTGAGGAAGAAATTTTTGATCAAAATGGACAACCACATTGAAAATCATGGTAAGATGGAAATCTTTGAGTGTCTTTGGGAAAGTGGTGTTAAAATTCTAAATGTTTCAGAGGAGAACACGAATGATTCTGAGCCGTGTGCGCTGGTCATCGAAGACTCTAATTCTCCGGGAGTTGTTCAAGGTATGTGAGCATGATAAAGGAGAAGTTTAGGAAGTTCTAAAATAGTAATCTATCCTCAGAGGATGATGAAGATATTCCGATGGAGCCTTTCCCCGAGGAGCACGCTGAAATCGTAATTCCTGGCTACTTAAAGGAACGAGCTGAAGTTTTCCAAAGTTTCGGACCAACTGAGTGGGAGAGTTTAATGGATCTTGCGAGTGTGGTTAAAACAAAGTCAATTTCTTTAATTGCAAAACGGGGTTTGGATTCGGAAGTGGATGAGACTGAAAAGGAGCTAGCGAGGGAGAAGGTTAAATTGGAGAATTTGAAGGCGGCAGTAAAGGAACTTGAGGACGAGAAGAGTAATTTGGAGGAGAGGAAAAAGATAGCAGCTTTGCAGAAGGAGATGGCTGTTCTCGCTGCTAAGGAAGCTGATTTAAGTGCACTCGAATTTCTTGGGTGTATTAAAAGAAAGGCTGCTGGTGATCTGTCCTCCGTGCTACTGAGACTGCAAGGTTTAAAAGATCTGTGGTTTGAAGAAGGTGCGGGTTGCAAGGTTTATTCTGAAGGTAAGTTAAGGAGATCTGAATAGGTTGTTTGGAATAGATTAAAAGATTTAACTTTTGACAGAGAACGTGTGGATTCTTCAGCTCGGGGAAAGCTCGGACAAGATCACGATTCGAGTTGGAAAGCTGGAGCATCTGATGACTCGTTTCGTCAAGGAGAACAAGGTACCCGGGATTCGTCAACCACCATCGTCTGCTCCTCAGCCAAAGGTGTCGAGTTTAATGTCTCCTGGACCTCTGAGGTCAATTTTAAAAACAATCGAGAATTCCGCTGGGGCCAGTACCTCGGGGGTAAAAAGAGCGTCGACTTCAAGTTTAATGACGGGTGTTGGAGCCACTGTTAAACGGCGTAAGCTTCGAGAAAATCCAAAGTTTCTTATCGGTGGATTGACTGATGGTGAGAAATGAAATAATTGTTAGATCTTGAATAACTTTATAAATGCTCAATTTTTCTTTCTTTTGACTTTCTCTTCCTGTAGCTAATCTTGAGAAGTTTATGGAGGGGAAGCAATTTATCCCTGAGAAGCCCGTAGAATATCGTCGAAATGTAGCGCAGAGGTTGGGTCTAACGTCAGAACATTTAGAAAGACTCGAACCAATTCAACTGCCTGTTCCGGGTTGTATTGTGCAAGATTGGCAGCATAATACGCCCGAATTCTCGAAAATAATTGAGGAGAGGACATCGGATCCCTTAAAACCTCAGGTTTTAGTTATCGGGACCTCTTTGACGTCGTACATACGACTTGGAGATGGTAAAGATACGTTCGCTGGTCACGTTAGAGACGACAAGTGCACTCAAAAACCAGTTTTCGACTTCTCGCACTTATTTGCGGATTTGCCGATCTCCCTTTATCAGGTTTGTTTCTAAAAAAGTGAGGTTTTAAAGAAAGGGGATGGGATTTTAATTTCGTTTCCTTTTGTTTCTTTTCAGTACTCTATCAGTGGACTATCCTTCAAATACGGGCAAGCGTACACTCCGGAAAATCTTCGAGAGATGGTGTATTCTGATTTAAAACTTAAAAGTAACTTTCAATTTAATCAGGTTTATATTAGAATTGGAACCAATGATATAAAGGAGGTCGTTCGACGACAAACAAATTTGGACTTTTCTGATATGAATGGTTTTATTGAGAAGTTGTTTGAGTTTTTGGGAAGGTTAGCGAGAGCCTTTAGATGTAAAGTTTTTTACGTTGGGGCGTCTCCTCCGCCATTGTCTACTGGGGAAAGAAAATATCTTCCAAAGAATCTGTTGTATGCGCAGGATGGGTTTCCTGCTTTTCCGTTACAGTATGAGGATGGAAACAGGCATGTTGAAATGGAAACTAGGTTAAGCGTAGCTCATGGCATGCAATATGAATTAATGACCAGACTTTTGAGAGCTGCTGGAAGACTAATGAACGATGGAAAGGGTGGTCCTGGTTTTATTGTTATGGTAACTCCGCTTGAGAGACTAAGAAAGTATGTTAAGAGGAAGTCTCTAGAAGAAGCCTTTGGGCATATGCAAATTAGAGCCTATTTGGCATTTGCAGCGGACCATGCCATAGTAATACAGTTTGGTTTGTCTTTGGATTATCCTGGAAAAATTTGGGATAGAGTACCTTCTTGTTCTGGGGCTTTTCCTATGTGGAAAGAGGACGGTACGGCTTCTCTGGGGATCTCTCCTAGATTAAAGCATAATCATTTTGGTCATGCTAGATTAGTTGAGGGATGTATGGGTTTTCCGTATGGTTTTCTGCCGAGGAATAAGGGAATTCCTTTAATGGTTGACCCATTTTCGAGGTACGAACCCCTTTTTATCAGAAGGTTTTAGCATTACTAATTTTTATTCGTTTCTGAATTTCAGCTTGAGCAAGGTGTACCAGGCAGGAATCATCGATGAGTGCTTCTCTTTGGAGTACATTCGCGGAAGTTACAAGTCGTTGGATTCCTCAAGTTTCAAAATCAAAGACATTCATTCTGGGAAGATCGTCGTCGGAGCTCTTGTGCGGATTAAAGATACGACGCAAGTGAAGATAGTGATTACTAAAACGGCTGCAGGATTTTGGTTAGTGGGAAAGGGAGGACCAATGTATTCGGATGGTCGTAATCTTGAGTTGTTGTGAAAGTAATTTAATCGAAACTGAGTTACTGATTTTGGTGTTTGTAATTTGTTATGATTTGATAGATTTGTTGATTTTGTTTTATTGATTGATTCGCTCTGTTTGTTTGCTCGGTCTTTTGATTTGATTGATTCGCTCGGTTTGTTTGCTCGGTCTTTTGATTTGATTGATTCGCTCGGTTTTTTGATTTGATTGATTCGCTCGGTTTTTTGTATAGAACTTCGAGAGTGAGATTTGAATACTTTGTTGTACTTTGACAGTTTTTTAAAGAAGGTGAATAAATTTGAGTGACTATGTTTCAAACAACTTTGGTGTTTTATTAAAAACCCTTTTCGGTTTTATCGTTAGTGTTTGTCCTTTAGGACCCTACGTAACCCTTTCAACACTCCTCTGAGGAGCTTCTAAACAAAAAATCTAAAGGGAGAACATTAAAGAACTGGGATTTCTGAATAAATTACGTCACTCAAGTTGTTTAAAGAAATTCCCGACAGCTTCGATTCTCATTACAGCAATGCCTTTTAGAAATTCATTGTTGATTTGTTGCACTTCCACTTCTAAAGGGACCAAATTTTGAACAGCTTGGTTTTTCAAGATAGTAGGTTCAGATTTTTTGGCCCCCCCTGCCTGAGAGCTAGTAATGATATCAACGGATCTGTAAAAAGGTAGAGAAAACGAAAACATATCCAACTAATAAGATCGGTCAAAGGTAAAATCAAACACGTTCCCCCTCGAACGTAATTAGTACGATCCAAAATCATTCTGTTGAACTGGTTGAAACCCAACCAGTGGATTGTCTTTCTTTCCAGTTTTTGTGTCAAATTTTCTGAGTCTGGAGAGGTAGCCTTCATAGAAGTTGGTCCAAATTTTTTCTGAGATTTCGATTCTTCTTACTGCATTTTCGGAAAGTCTGTCTTTGTCAACAACCCCGAGAAATTTGAGTGGGTCAGGCCCATATAAGAAAGGATTTAGTTCCCAGTCTCCTTGGTGAGGGTTGATGAACATGGAAGGAGTAATAGGCATAGGAGAATCTCTTTCTGAAAATAAATAAGTAAGAGGTCTATTGTTGACCATATTTTCAATTTGAGCTACAACAGATAAAAGGGCGTTCCAATTGTCAAAGGAAATTCCTCTGAAAGCTCTGGCCAGTCTTTCTTTAATCATACTCATGTGTCTTTCGTAAAAACCTCCCCACCAAGGAGCTCTACTTGCGTTGAAGTGCCATTCGGCTGTTTTTAATTTGACTCTTAGTTGTTTCTCTTGCGCTTTTAAGAGCATTGGCCATGCGGCTCTGAATGTCGCGGCATTATCTGAAACAAGTATTTCGGGTTCAACATTTCTTTTGTGGCAGAATGTCTCATAGGCACCAACAAAGGATTTAATAGACAGATCTTGTACAGCTTGTAAGTCAATTGCTCTGATGAGTGACAAAGGATTTAATTGAAAGATCTTGTACAGCTTGTAAGTCAATTGCTCTAATGAGTGGGCATGAAAAAACACAGATGGATACTTTTAGGGCTGGAGTAGTAACTGTAGGTTTTCCATCTATTTTTCTAGTTACTTCAAGAGTAATTAGTGGCCCAACAAAGTCAATGCCAACTGCTTTAAATGGAATGGAACCATGGTATCTGTATTCTGGTAATGGAGCTGGGGGGACTGAGAATGGCTTTGAATCAAATCTTTTGCACCAATTGCATGAAACTTTAACTTCTCTGGCAATTTTTCTTCCTCTGGGAATCCAAAAGGTTTTGTGGAGAGCACTTAGAGTCACAGCTGAGGAGGAGTGACCTAGTTTTTCATGATAAAATCTAAATAAGGTAATTAGTACGTCTATGTTTTGTTTTCCTTTAGGAATTGGAATGTGAATAAGAGTTTTCCTTACTGCATTTGTTCTTTTGACCTTAGAATTTGTCTTTTCTCCTTGTCTACTTGTAGATTCAATAAGGTTGAACTCAGAGTTCCATTGAAGATCGGGTTTTAGTTTTACAGGAGTGTTATTTTTCAAACTTTCCACTTCATCATGAGCATAGAGATTTTGAATAAGTTGAAAAATTTTAATTTGAGCATCCTTTTTCATCTGAATAGAGGTTCTTTCTTTCAGCAAGTTTTGAATTTTAGTATCCCCATTCAAAGCCCTCTTTGCTCCTCTTGTTCTTCTTTTAGATCTTTCTTTAAAATAGAGAGTTATTTTCTTCCACCCCACCATTTGATTTACTAATGTTTCCCACGAGGATGATCCGGCTAGGACTTTGATTAAGATTTTTCTCGTGTCTTCCCATGAATTTTGTGGTTTACAAGAGATTCTACAAGAAAGAAGAGATATTTGTTGTAATGGCCAATCTGATTTAGTTGGTAGCCAGGAAGGGCCATTCCACCACAATTTTGAATTTATTAGTGTTTTGGCATTGCACCCTCTAGAAGCCAAGTCAGCTGGGTTGTCCTTTCCAGGTACATGTCTCCATTGAGAAATGTTTGAAAATTCTAAAAGCATGGAGATTCTATCTCTAATGTAAAGAATGGTGCCAGGTTTTAGTTCTCTAAGCCAGTTGAGTAGTACTTCTGAATCTGTCCAGAAAAATACATTGAATTTAAGTCCTGTTAGTGACTTAATAACTTCTTGTAGAAGGGCAACGGCTAGACAGGCTGCTGTTAATTCTAAACGATTTATTTTTACTCTAGGGTCCAGTTGATTACCCTTTTTCTTTTTTGGATTGTCCTTTTTGGACTTCAAAGGAACTAATTTAGACTTTCCAAGGAGAATAGAAGTTTTTGTTTCTGTTTCACTTCTGGACAGGTAGTAAATTGCTGCACCAAGTGCTGAGCCGCTGGCATCTGAAAAAACATGAATTTCTCCTTCAATTTCGTTAGGAACTTTTACTAGCCTTGGTATGATGAATTTGGATAGCATTTCGGTTTCTAAAGCTAGAGATCTCCAAATTTTACAGTCCTCTTTGGACAGTTCTAGGTCCCATGGAGCTTTAGGGTTTAAGCGATTGAATTCTTGAAATGTAAGTTTTAATTTAGCGGTGAATGGAGCCATGAGTCCTGGAGGATCATATAATCTGGCAATGATGCCTGCGGCAACCCGTTTCGATAATTGCCTCAGTTGGGCAAGGATATATATGTTTTCAGCGCAAGTAGATATTGAGTCTGAGTCAGTATGATACATTAGCCCAAGAATCTTAAATTTGTCTTGAATTTTGTCTTCTTTGGGAAAAGAGATAATTGCCTCAGTTGGGCAAGGATATATATGTTTTCAGCGCAAGTAGATATTGAGTCTGAGTCAGTATGATACATTAACCCAAGAATCTTAAATTTGTCTTGACCTTTGTCTTCTTTGGGAAAAGTTCGAATTTTTGTAAGAATGAAGTTTCCATCTTTTAGAAGATTGGTTGTCTTTTCCTGCTTTTCTTTGACTTCTTCTAGGTTTCTACCAGTAATCAGGATGTCGTCAACGTAGGAGTTTTCTTCGAGCTCGACTTTGAATTCCAAAGATATTTTCCCTTTAATTTCGGCTTGGCGATAAAGATATCTAATTGCTGCATTTAACATAAAAGGGGCGCAGTTAATTCCCCATGGAAGTCTTAGAAATCTATAAAATTGATATTGAATGGATCCATCTGGTTGCCTGATAGGCCATCGAATAATGAGAAACCATTGATCCTCTTCGGTTAATTGAACTTGAACGAAGGCCTTTGATATGTCAGAGACAGAAAAGGATTATAAACTTGATATTGAATGGATCCATCTGGTTGCCTGATAGGCCATCGAATAATGAGAAACCATTGATCCTCTTCGGTTAATTGAACTTGAACGAAGGCCTTTGATATGTCAGAGACAGAAAAGGATTTGGCAAATCTAAGTCTGATTAGAATATTAATTAGCCTTGGTAAAATATTAGGCCCAGGATCCAGAATGTTGTTAGTCGAGCACTTTCCGCGATCTGCTGTATTTCCAGCAATTACAACTCTGAGTGGGGTACTGGCACTAGCAGGTCTTTCTACTCCATGATGTGATAGTTCAGTAAATGGGGTTCCTCTGGCTCTCAGTTCTTCCAGTGTTGTTTTGGTAATGACTCCAGTATCTTCCCAGTCTTTTATGAACTTGTAGTATTCGTCAGCCATAATTCCCCCCCCCTGTCCAACAGTCTTTGGACTGAACTGATTCTTTGTTCTCCTGCTCGTAAGTTGGGTGACCAGCAGTCATAAAAGTTGGAGCTTTTCAATAATGGAGCAATTACTCTTCCAGTTTTGGATTGTGTGATTCTTTTAAGATATTTGGAGAGCTCTTCTTCATCAGAATTTTCTAATTCCTCCTCTTGTTTCCCGAATATCTCGAGTCTGTCTAATCTTAGGTATCTTGTAATTTCTTCGTTGAGTTTGACATCGAGAGGTTTATTTTCACAAGCTCTTACGGTGAAAACTAAAGATTTTCTTGATGGATATACGATTTTAGTGTCAGGATTCCAGTTTCCTCTAGGAATTAGACCAGCGTTGCTGGACAGCAATTGGAAGTGGTCTAAAGAGGCAAAGGGTTGAACACCGGTCGAGAATATGGAGATTAGATCTTTACCTCCAATAATTAGATCAAAGGGAACATTAGTGGAGTTGATAGTGCGCTTGTCTGCAAGAAGATGTTCGTATTCTTTCATCCAAGATAAGGTTTGTGGGTTACTGCCCTCCCAGGGTCCTTCAAGGGAAACAATTAGAGCATTAATAGTATAAAAGAAGTTGTGATTGTTTACGGCTTGAAGGGTAAAGGTTGTGAAAATAGTTGATCTGAAATCTCTGTCATGTTGTTTAACTCCTGATATTCTAAATCCTGTTGGATGTCTTTCTTCAACGAGGTTTAGTCTGCTAACTGCATCTGAAGTGATTAGGTTGATTTGAGCTCCTGAGTCTAGTAAGGCAAAGATAGGTTCGTGAGACTCGACTTCTAGGAACTCTGCTGTTTCTACAAAGGAATTTGGATAACTTCCTCTGGTTAAATTGATCTGAATATGTTGT